TCGTACTGTCGTGTTTTCATCATCGTACTATCGCGTTTTCACCATCGTACTGTCGTGTTTTCATCATCGTACTATCGCGTTTTCATCATCGTACTATCGCGTTTTCATCATCGTACTATCGTGTTTTCACCATCGTAGTTTCGTGATTTCGTGTTTTCACCATCGTACTATCGACTATCGCGTTTCAGATTAACACATTCATAGGCGATGGCCCTAACGGCATTCCGGAATGCCGTTAGGGCCATCGCCTATGAATGGTTTGATCTGAAACGCGATACTCGACAGTACGATGATGAAAACGCGAAATCACGAAACTACGATGGTGAAAACGCGACAGTACGATGGTGAAAACACGATAGTTTATCGCGTTTTCATCATCGTAGTATCGTACTGTCGCGTTTTCATTATCGTACTATCGCGTTTTCATCATCGTACTTTCGCGTTTTCACCATCGTAGTTTCGTGATTTCGCGTTTTCACCATCGTATTATCGACTATCGCGTTTCAGATCAACACATTCATAGGCGATGGCCCTAACGGCATTCCGTAATATACTGGATTAGACCTAAAATAGGTTTCAGTATTAAAGCTTGTCATAAAGATGTACAAGTGTTAAATCAAACTATTTGTGAAGGCCTATTAATTACCTTACAGTACAGTTTAATAAATAATGATAAATATAATCAGCTAATTAAATCTGGTCAACATAACACTTAGACGTACATATCCAGACAAGACTTATCCAGACAAGACTACCTACTTTCTACACGACTGTCAATTCAATATGTCCTACAACAGTAAGTTCTAAACAGATTCATTCATAACTCTGGGGAGCTTGTAGAGAATGTTCAGAGGTCAACATTCTTAGAGGTCAACATTCTTATTCATGCTTCTCTGGTTCATCTAAATTAATGAATGTTATGTCTTCAATCTCTCTCCACATCTATATTCCATACAGTTAATATCATTCACTGGTAATTAATTAATGAAAAAAACGATAATGTCCACATGTTATTAATTAATGCTATATTAAAGATAAACACTGAGGAAATTCAAAAGGTGAACCAAATCTGTTTAATAATACTCTATGATCATATAAATATATGTACCTGAATTAACCTTGGTTTTAAAAGTACTAAGATTTATATCAAATTTACAGTCCTTATTTCTAAACACTGTAAAATCTGAACATTTCTTAAATTTCTTTTACAACAACTTGGTACAATTGTATAGATATATTATTATATTTAATACAATGTATACGGCAATATTATATAAATAAAATCTGTGTCAACTTGATTGGGCTGTAATTTGATTTCACAAATCTATGACTTTAACACTCTCCTGTGCTTCAATTTTCAGAAAGAAAAAAAAAGATAAAAATCTTTGAACAAATTTTCCGGTGAGATTTGTCTCTTGAAATTTGCTGGTTTTTCTAGTCTAAAGGATTTTTCAAAGTTGAATTTACTTATATGTAGTATACAATTTATTGCCATTCTTGTGGTTAGTATACAGACAAAAACGTGTAAGTTAACCAAGACAATAACTATGATGTGTTTATAACCTTAATAGTACTTGTGGCTGACAATCCCACAAATTTACTTGGCAAGGTTTCAAATGTACCAAGTGGGGAAAGTAATGAATGAAAATTTACATTACATATTTAAATATTTTAACACATAAACACCATTTTAACACTTGTTGTATACTCATGGCATAAATAATGAAAAAGTTGTGCAAAATAGGCCCAGTATAATATATTAATAAGCATACCAGAATACATTTGCTGTTAAATCAAGTATGATTTTATTTTTGCTGAAGTAATTTCAAAACATATCAAGAAAATTACATGAACAACAGCTATTTTAATGATATGACAGAATCCCTTATAAGATTTTGTTCTGTTCAGGTTGAAATATTGTCTGGCGCTCTCGAACATATGCATTATTGAAGGTTCTGTTAAATTGAATGACTTTTTTTGGGTTGGGTTTTATGTTGCACTAACACAGTATAGGTCATCTGGTAATTTTCCAGCTTTACTGGTGAAGACCTCAGGATCACTTCTGTGCATTATTTCAGGCATGAACGGGTACCCGAGTAGAACCACCTTAAGCTTGCTGGACAGCTTCCTTACATGAAAGAATCCAAAGTCCTTGTAGGAGTTCAAGCCCACATGTGAGGGACAAGTGGTTTGAAATCCACAACTTTAACCACTTGGTCACAGACACCCTTATTTTCTATCTAAAAAGAATGTTTGTTTAAATTTGTCTGTTTCACTTATTAGGTAATCATATATGGTTTTGTCCAATTGCCATTTAATGACGTCATCTCACTGTTTTTATATAATACCACACTGAGGACGAAAAGATTTTTCTTCCACCACCATCCAAGGACTGAGAGCTAGGTAGATAAATATGTACATCTTTACCACAAGGCAATTGCTCTCCTTTAATACTTAGATGATCTGGGTCATGCCATATTTCCTGACACTGTAATAACTTACTTAGTAACTTGGTAGTAAAAGAGGTTGAATAAAGAATTTAAATAAATTAATACATTTATGAGTTGATGTAAAGATATACTATGCTCAAATTTGTTATTAGAAAATATTGATAATTGCTACACAGTCTCTTTGTAAATATAAAATAAACATGTTGTGACTTCACACAAAATAGATATGTTATGTTTAAAATTCTACAGAATATACAGGTGGTAACAATATGAATATACAATGTATTATATCATTAAAAAAACGGCAATTTTTTGGGTTTTTTTAAGAAAGGACCAAAACTCTATTTGACATGACATAGGGATCGCAGCTTCCCATACATAGTTATTCATTCTTTTATTCAAATTAGACAAAATCAGTAAGAATTTCATAGATTTCTGTGATTAAAAATATTTTACTTAAGGATGAGCTTTGTATGTATCTTTAAGAAGTATTGCTAGTACACTGTAATCTTTTATTTCATAAAGTGTATGACTTACTAGGAATCTAAGGATTGCTGGGCGAGTAGGTTCACACCCTGTCTTGGGCAAGTTATTGTAACCATAAACAACAAACTTTACACTCATTGCTTAGAACTTGTTGGTTCCAAGAACTTATTCAAGAAAATTTTAAATACGCTTAGACTAGCTTCCTAAACAATCAAACCTAAACAAATTTATATAAACTAAATTCATAAAGTTGATTATTTTTTTTTATGCTTACTGAATACCAAATAGTGCAAACTATTATCAGATGGCACAAATGATGTGTTGACTGAGGTAATTTCAGTTGGCACTTAACTTTCAAAGGATACCAGATTTCCTCTTTCATCGGACTCCCTCTTAAGGATACAGCTCTTGAGCCTGTTATAAGCATTTTTGACTGACACTTAAAAACTTCACGATTGAAGTTGCTTTATTTATAAATCTGTATGCATTTTAACCTTCCTGTCTACTTAACTTAATTATGAAAGGGTAATGTGAGGTGATGATAACCTCCAATGTCATATACATATCAATAAATGTATACATTAAATAAAGTTGCAAATTTGTTCCTTCTCAATTGCTTTGTTAATATTCACATCTCAGGTCTTTTTTTCCTTCTATAGCAAGAGTGAGGGTGACCGGTCCATTTAAAATAGTGACTTTCGCACACGAGATTTCCCTGAAAATTCTATAAAACCATGCACTTCCCCCTATAATACATCATTTTTCTTCATCTACTGCAAAATTACTCAGTGTGTTATTAATCTCAAAGGCCGAGCTACCCCTACATTTACATGTACCTTTGAAAAAGCCTTGCCTCTAGGACCTAGTAGGTTATACAAGTGTAGTAATTCATCAGATTTCAGTAGTAAAATTGTATGAATAGAAAATATAATACAACTTTTTGCACATGATATATATGAATTTGCTATCTCTCAACAGAATTCCACTCTCAGGAAAATCATTCTAAAAGGCTAAAAATAAGACAAATACATTGATCATTCATTTTAACAGAAGTCAACCTGCTGATTAACACTGTGACCAATTAATTACATACCATAGTTTTCTTAATAGAAGCAATCTCCACTTGCTGTGAGCCAGCAAATATGTCAAGATCAAACATAATTAGTAAGTGCAACTCTCAATAAACATATGGCCCGGACATAGCTTGTACCGCCAGAATGTTTACTTTTCCGCTTTCAAGAGCTTACAAATATACATTTCTCCCTGAAGTACCATTATATATATAAAATGCTCTGTCACAGAAATACCTATATATATGTACAACTTGTCAAAGTGACAAGTATCCAAGCCTCTTCTTGAGAACATTGTCATGTAGTACAAAGCTTTTCTGACATTTTGACTGCATTTGATGCTGACAGTAACATGTGTTTGCCTGTGTTTGCTATTGAATCACTCACTAGTCTAATTTAACTACTGTAGGTAAACTGTATATGAGCCGTGTCACAACAAAACCAACATAATGGGTTTGCGGCCAGCATGGATCCAGACCAGCCTGCGCATTTACGCAGTCTGATCAGGATCCATGCTGTTGCTTTCAGTTTCTCTACGTGTTATAGGGTTTGTAAGCGAACAGCATGGATCCGGATCAGACTGCGCGGATGCGCAGGCTGGTCTGGATCCATGCTGGTCGCAAACCCATTATGTTGGTTTTGTCGTGACACGGCTCATATGTATTATCAAAATTTTCATTGGAAATATTAAGATTATGTTAACAGAATATATTACAGTTATACCGATATAGACTAATAAACAATTTAATTTCGTTGCTACAAAAAAGAATATAGACAGCCAAGCATTTTCTTGATTAATTCCTTAGAAGCACACCAAGCAGGAACATTATGTTTCGATATATTTTTCAGAAAGTTAGACAGAAGATCTACACAGCTAGATGTGGTATCCTCCTTATAACTCTAATGTCACACTATATAAAAAGAAAAACTATGACTTCCATGATCCCCGTTATTTACTGTAGATCAAACATCTAAATCGATAAATTATACAAACCTTGTAAGAACATAACTTTAGCACCATCTTGCTTCAGTTTCTTATATAGTAGACCTATGACACTGGTTGGGGACGCTGTTGCGGGCTCTGTTTTATCATCATACAGGACGATTGTCTGAGTCTTCCACTGACGGTTGAATTTATCTTTGGCTTCATTGTTTTGAATAATACATCCAACATTCAATTTACCAGATTTGAGACGCCTCAACATTAAGCTTGGTAAAAATATTGATATGGCCCCTTTAACATGTGACCTAGTAAAGTCTGATTGTGACCTACAGTCTAGTATCAACATGCCTCTGTGACCCTTCACGTCTTCCGCTAAAATTTCCGCTGATATTGTATTGTCACTCGACATATTTGTTTTCATAAGTCGACAAGGCATCTGTTGTTAAGAACTGTCCTGAAAGAATGGACCTTTAAAACTTGCTTACTCTTGAAATTGTAAAAAAGATAATCTAAAATTTGTAGTTGGTGACCTAAATTGAAGGGAAGTCATGTACACTTATTCCCTCAAACTAATCACTTGAACGGTTCCTTCCATTATTGTCTCTTATTAAGACAGACATCAACATTCTATAAACACGTAATGATAACTAATCCATCTTACTTTATCCTTCTAAGTCCAATATATACAGTCAAAACCTACATAAAATTGGGTAATCACTGTGTTACACCACAACTTCCTTTGGCCATTTTGTACAGTAGGTTGAGATCGTGGAAGATTGACAGGTAAACAAACACAATCTTTACAGATTTGACCAATCAAAAGACAGAACTGCAAGCAACGTCACTAAGCACCGCCTTAATCAATGACGACATATTCCTTAATTGGAACTAATTATGAATCGAGAGCAAAGCGGTCTAGATAATTGACAAACGTCACTTCCGTTTTTTAGATTATTTTTTTTTATTTCACTGTCTTGAACAGTGAACACGTTGATTACCCTAACATCACAGGCGCAAACAAATACTAGTAAGCAAAGTCAACAGTACGCATTCGTGACTACAGAGCTATATTTGTATTATTTAAAAAGTTTTTAGCAGGCTTTGCGTTTTGCATGCTTTTCAATCTATCTGTGGCATAAAATCGTTTGTCATTAAATTCTTTTTCACTTATCAAAGCAGGGTCTTTCAAATAGAAGACCCTGGTTACAGTCAGTACTTACACGATTGAGAACCAGCCCAAAAATATCTGGAATCTGGATTTTTGACTGGTCATGGAAGAAGCATGGTGTGAATCAACCAGCCTTAGTGGTTGGGACATATGTTGGGATTAGAGATATCGTCTGTAATTCGAGGCTGAGACTTAATTCGTTGTCTCACCTTTATTTTTTTTAAATGAATGCCTTTGTTCAGTCTGATACAAGCTGATTATCAGATACTAGTATGTAAATAATCAATTAGTAATTAAAACATGTTTCTAAAGGACATTTTAACTTATATTAGTTAAGACCTTTAAGTTCATTGATTTTTATACAAACCAAAATCTGCGACTGCTTTAATAATTGATAGCATCTAATTTCCTCTACTAAAATAGAATACTACAGTTATGTTACTGGTTTGGATAACATGCTATCTATGTCTCTGTTTACTGTAATGCCAATTACTATTATATTTTGTGACAATTCCAGAAATTAGAATGGAATTCACAATGTAATCTTCCGCTCAAGTTTTACTCGTCTTAGTTAGAAATTTCGCGTTCTATATACTAGAAGTGAAAAAATATCAATCAATTGGGATTGGTCTTTTCGTGCATGTATATTGACCTAATTTGTTTGGGCAGTTGCCGAATGAATCCGAATCATAGTTTACATTGGTGATGGCGTTATAGTGGAACAGTAATAAAGATATGAACGAATAAAGACAATACAGGGGTAATTGTTTTGCTAAACAATATAAATAATGTATTTTTATACTTTTCAGTATAGAAGACGTAACAATTGAAGCTAAAGTTGATAGTTTTGTATCCTGCTTAAGTGTAATATATTTCGGATACGTCAAATTTATGTATTGTTAGTTTAGTAAAATATTCTTTCCAAGGGATGAAGCCATTAGATCTACTTCGTCTCTGTTTTGTCCAAGCTATTTATCAACAATTACAGACTGTATGCAATCGAAATACCAAAGTTGGCATTAACTACTAGTTTGCTGCTAAGGTATGCATGCACACATTATAGCTACACATAATGCTCTTGTTCATTTTTTTTTCAGACTTTAATTTTTTGGTGCATTTTAATATGTCCAGATTATTCTAAACAGCCATTGAATGAAACAAATAACATTGAGACACCCCCATCCCAGCTACTTTAAAAACACTCTTACCACTGCACAGTGTAGTTGCACTGGTGTTTCACATACTAAGCTCAAATAAATATGTTTTTAATTTAAGAACTAAACTAAACTTAAGGTTTTGCATGTTCTTAACACTGTTCTTTTTGGTCGTAATTACCAATAAAGCTCACATTTCAAGACCTACTACTTTTGCATGGGTTTTGGTGGAATTTAACAACTTTATTGACAGAAAAAATTTCTGGTCTATAGTTGCAATTTGTTTATCTATTAGAAATTGTTGCCATCAAAGGATCGTCATATCTAAGCTATCATCATATTTTGTCAGCAGCTTGGAATGTTTCCTCCAGAAACATTAAATATGATAATAGAAGGCTCACACAAGATAGTCAAACAACAGCTCTTTAGTGGCACAGACATTTTACTCATATTCAGGGATACAGGCTTGGGCAGGATTAAAAATGCATACATGTTAAACTTAAGTGTATTCAATAGGAGCTTGAGCATTACATGATAACTATTTGTCCAGAGCATGATTTTAAAAATAGAAATAGTATTGATTGTATCAACTTGAAACTTAACAGATGGATAGATGTCATTTAGAAAAGTGCTTTGTTTAAGAACCATATCACTATTTGAATAATTTTGGAGTTATTGCCTTTTGTAATATTTTTTACCTCCATCATGAAATTAGAGGCAGCATATATTCTATATACCCTGTTTGTATGTATGCACAAAATCATACTTTGTATCTGGTCTATATAACTTCAAAAGGCATAATGAGATTTCAAGATAAATTGTTACACATGATCACCATAAATAGACAATGCATCACATGCAAGACCAAAGTTTATAGTTCAAAGGTCAATGTTTTACATCAAGGAATTGAAATTATTTAATGTTACAGCAAGGACTTGAACTTATTTGTCATATAGCCTTTTAGTACAGGTAGAGTTGTGACCAGTCAGTAACTTCTGCACGCAAGATTGAATTTCAAAATGAATTGGTACACATAATCACTATTAGTTGACAGTGTGTGGGATGCAAGACCAAGGTCTCTAGCCCAAAGATAAAAGTACAGCAAGGGGTTGAATTTAGCTTTTTGTCATATAGATGGTGCTTTTGTACAGTCAATATCTTCTGGATGCTTATTAGGATTTCAGCACAGATGATGTGTTGCATGTATGTACATTCAAGGATAAAGTCGAATTTGGAGTTCTTTTCCCTCTGCTTTATGATTTTCTGATTCCATGATGTGTTGCACTCATCACCAAGGTGGAGGAAACAACTACCACAGTTAACTTCATCATTTAAATTTTTTAACAGATACCTTGGGGGTATGGGGTTGTGTTGCACTCCTACATTTTTTGTTTATATGTCTCAGAGATCGAAAATTCTACTCGTCCGCTCATAATTACAAGTAGAATTTAAGAGAATTTGATGCAGGACGATTAGAAAAATGTTGGATTTAGAAACTACAGGACAAGTGACTCTGAAAATATTTTTCGATGCTTTTGTCTCTAAAGAGTCTCGCAGAAAGGGAATCTACATGTATATATCTGAGTTTAAAAAATTGCTCTGGAAAAGTCTAGAGATGTATTTGAAGAAGGCAAAATGTATGTTTATTAATTGTGTTCATAAACTGAATATCTTTCTCTCAGTATGGTTTCAAACTGCTAATTTTAACATATAAAAAATTCTACTTAGTGTTGATGATTATGATTTATTTGTTCCATTGAAAAATGAGGTTCTAGAACATAAAATGTTTAACTGTGAGAGGGGGGCATTTTAATTCTAGAACATAAGATGTATTAGTACCTTTAATAAATCTTACAACATAAAGTGTTTGATAGTGAGAAGGGTCTTTCAATCTTAGAACACAGAGCGTTTAACTTTGAGATAGTACCTTTAAATCCTAGAGCATTATACTGTCGAATTTTCCATGAGTACCTAATCTTAGAACATAAATTGTTGAATATGTACCTCAAATTCTAGAACAAAGCATATATTTTAACTAAGAGATTGTACCTTCAAATCTTAGAACAGGGAGTGTTTAAGTGCTGGACTGTGACAGTAACTTTAAACTAAGTGTGTTGGATCTATTATGGTAATAAATCAGTTTATTTGATTTCTTTGTGTATCTCTGATTGTTTATTGAAGGTCTTAGGAGTGATTTTCACTGTTTGTAAATATTGAAGGTCTTTACCTGTATAAGTGTACGAACATTAAAAACTAATATAACAAATTTAGCATGTAAGAACATATTTATCATAGTGGAATGATGTGTATTACTTTAATATAGGCCTCTTTCCTCATCCACTGAAAGACTGAATATTTATAGATGATTTCATGATATATGTTTGTGTCAAAACATGTTTCATTTATATTTTAATTTCAATAAAAACAATGCACATGATTGTATAGCATAGTCTTTCTTAAAATATTGTACTATATAGGCATGTACTGTATATTAAAGGATGAATATAAAATATTTAGATTTTAGTATAATTTTTGTGTCACCTTGAAAAGGCGACATATAGGGGTTATTTTTGTCCGTGTCGGTGTCGGCATCCCCTTAAGCTTGTCCAGAGTATAAGTCAATCATTATAAGTCGGATTGACTTCAAACTTGGTATGCATGCTTCTTATAATGACTAGAAGTGCAGTGCACAAGGACCAGTATTTTGCACTTCTTAATTTTTGAGTTATTGGCCTTTGTTAATTTTCATACTTTATTTTTGTCCTAGCCATTTCTCCTAATGTATAAAGGCTATGGACTTGAAACTTCATAGGATGATAGATCTCATTAAGAAGAAGTGCAGTGCATAAGAGCCGGTACTCTGCATCTCTTATTTTTTGAGTTATTGCCCTTTGTTAATTTTCATACTTTATTTTTGTCCGGGCCATTTCTCCCAAAGTATAAACGGTATCGACTTGAAACTTCATAGGATGATAGATCTCATTAAGAAAAAGTGCAGTGCACAAGAATCGGTACTACTTATTTCTTATTTTTGAGTTATTGCCCTTTGTTAATTTTCATACTTTATTTTTGTCCAGGCCATTTCTCCTAAAGTATAAAAGCTATGGTCTTTAAACTTCATAGCATGAAAGATCTCATAAAAAAGTGCAGTGTACAAGAACCGGTACTCTGCATTACTTATTTTTGAGTTATTACCCTTTATTAATTTTCGTACTTTATTTTTGTCCAGGCCATTTCTCCTAAATTATAAAAGCTATAGACTTTAAACTTCATAGGATGATAGATCTTATTGATAAGAAGTGCAGTGCATAGAAACTGCTGCTCTGCACTTCTTCTTTTTTGAGTAATTGCCCTTTGTTAATTTTCATATTTTATTTGTTCCTGGCCATTTCTCCTAAACTATATTGTTCACAAGGCGACACATCCGACTCGCGGAGATATAGTTCAAAATAATAGTTTCTAATTTGTAACATGTGGCGTGTGCATCCCCTAACATCATACATTATATTAGGTGTAATTTTTAAAGTTTCCAGATACTTCAGATGATATAAGAGTGTGTGACCTTTGACAGGGGTGCTTTTGACTGACATTTTTGCATATACTTTGGAATCTTATTTGGTTAAATTCTAATGTTTTAAAGCCCACTCTGCAAAAATCAATCCAATACAACTTGAGTTGCATTTAAAAAGTTTTTTTTTTCAAAACATATTTAGTTTTAACTTTCTTACTTATTTGTAAACGTTATAAGTTGTCAGTCTGATGTGAAGGATTTTAGACAAGTGTGATCTGCTTTTATGTCTACTACTAGAATATTATAGCTTTGAAGTTGACACATTTTTACTTGGTTTTCTTTCAATTATTGTAAAGTTATTATTCCACCTACATTGTCAGATTACTAGTTTCTCTTCTGTTGTTAAACAAATAAGTTTTGTTGAGATTTGTTAAAACTTTTATTGTTATTTCCTAAAATCATACAGCCTACAATTACAGTGGTGATATACCATGTGGTAAATAAAGTAGCAATTTGAGTGAAATACTGTCATATACTGCTGTATATATACTGTATTTCCTGTCGGTTACATACAAGCCCTACTTTGTTTGGAGCTGGTCTGTAATGTTGGTTTAACTGTACTTTGAAATCTTAACCCTCAGAATTTCTATTTTCTTCATTCAATTTTTGGAACTGCCAATTTAAAAACTTTGTAGACATCAAGATGAAAATTTGACTTTTAAGTCAGCCACAGGTTAGAGCCAGTCTAGTTAGACTGCATAATCCAGTATACCATACTTGTGGCAAAGGCTAATAACTGGTGGCAAAAAGGCAAATAACTGGTGGCAAAAAGGCTAATAACTGGTGGCAAAAAGGCTTATAACTGGTGGCAAAGGCTAAGGCTAATCAGTGGTTTACTCATGTTTCCTATGTTGAGATATAAATATGACTTATTCATTATTATTTGAAGCACCCATACAGACAATTCAAGATTTACTACATTTTTCAAATATAGAACTTTATGTGTTTACAAACGGTAAAAAATATGGGCAAGTTGAGACATCTATATAAAAAGAGCAATATATATTGTTATATTTGTATTGCTGACGTCTGATCAAAGCTTCTTTATTAAATACTACAGAGGTTAAACATATTAACATTGATTTATTTACGTCAAGGTATAGTCGTGATTTCTCCTCTTAAAGGTTTAAATTTAACATTTCAACTTAAGGAAATATAAATTATAGCCCACTCAACACCATTCATTGACATATCATAAAAGCCAGTGATCTTTTGATGTAATGACTATGAAAAGACAGTATTGTGACGTGTATCTTTAAAATGAAACATGTTTTATTTAATTTTTTCTAATATATAACAAATAAAAAAGATTTTTTTTATTTAAAAGCCATATAAGATAAATTGGTTGAGATTATGTTTTTATGACTTTTGGTTTATAGAAATCTTATAAGGCCTTACTTACTGTGACAAAGTGAAATAAATTTAGAAAAAAAAGATTGGTATTTGAATGGATGTATTTTAATGTTAAATAACCACATAAATATGAATGTTTTTTTTCTTCTAATTTCTATTAGCAGTGAAGCAGAATGGATGCAAAAGTTGAGTTTCCTGACTCAGAGCTATCAGCCTCCCCGGCACTCGGTGTCATTTTTCGACTTCCGACACAAGATAATGTAGACGATAGTTCCGACCATGACAGCTATGATGATAGGAGACGATGTCGTATTAGACCACATTCTGCTAAAGGTTTTTTGTTTTTTTTCTTCACTTTATATGTCATTAGCTACTAATATTCAATCTAATGTTACAGAAACTCCACAGAGGTCCAATGCCCTAAATATATAAAATTCGAAATTCTTACATAGATAGGCTTGGACACTTTAAATGGAAAATTAAACAAAAGAAAATAAAGAAATGTACTCAGAACTAAATTGCCATGCATAGCCTGATTTTAGTTAAAAATGTTTAAAGGCTTTTCTATTTTAGCACAATTCAAATGATTACATTATACTTTGAATAAATTAATTGGACCAATGACTTGAAATTTTGCATTGAAGGTTATTGGTCCAAACCTAAAAAAGTGTGAAAAAAATAATTCAGCCCAGTCATGTCAAATAACCTCAGTGGAGTTCCTTTAAGGGTATGTGAAGGAAGTTGGTTAAAGAGGTTGACATTGAATAAATAACTTGCTCATCACAGCAGTGGGTTAAAATCCTAAACAACTCAAATGTCCTTTGAAATAATGCATAAATGGGCAGCCCAGATTTTGTTTTAGTTGGAGAGTCTTTAAACTGAATCCCCCTGAAATATCTAAAGTTTTGTATACTTTAATGATATGTTTATAAAGGCTAGGGGATTATCTTTAGATCGTAAAAATATTTTCAATTTATTGACAAGTTTTGAGCAGATAAGAAAAGTATTGACAATCTATTATCAAGGTAAACATTGTATTTAAATAAATACATGCTGGTTAATCACTAATGTATAAATGGACAAAAAAGTTTTCCTGTACACAAAGTACCATATTTGTTATATATATGAATTGCTAATAACAAGTTCAAAACAAATAATGACTTTTGATAGTGGAATTGAATAGCATACAAAAAGATATTAATTATTAAAGAATGTTTTTTCTCTCTGTAATTGAACTCTGTTGGGTTTTAGTTTTCAATTACTGACTAAGAATTGGAACTAAATGTTAACCATTTGACCTAGATGGCAGTGAATTTGATTGATAAAGAAACAAGATCTCTGGTAATGAGGAAACTATAAAGCTATGACCCAGATATAAGCTAGAACCCAGATATTAGCTTTTACCTGAAATAATGGACAAAGAGGCACTAAAGCTCTTTATATTGTCAGTCTAACTTAAAATCCATAAATTGAAAGTAATCAAATAAAGTTGAATGGTTATAATTGATGAAAATGTAATTTCAGGTCCAAGCCTAGATTTGCCATCTAGAGTGGTTCCTAATAAACCTAAAGGTATCAGACCATGGTCAGCCCTGCCTAAAACTGCAAAACCATCCTTGCCAACCCAGCGGAAGGTGTCACGCCAGACTCTAAGAAAGCCTCATCTCCGACCACCTGCAAGGTAAAATAATTTTTTGCTTACTCAGGCTACAATTGCTTCTTTTTGGTTTCACAATAGAGCATATACAATGTAATAAGAATAGGTAGTCTCATACACAATACGAAGCACTGTTTATATTCACATTTGTTTAATACACATAGCCTTAAAGTTTCAATGTATGGACAAAACAAGGGATAACAATGTTAAACATCTATTCTAGAACAGTTTATAAGAATACAGTGGTTAACCAGTATAAATAATTAAATATATGTAGCAGATTAGTATTTAAGTAATAGAAAGAGCATCGAAACACAAGGCTATCTGATTTGCATGAGGGGGCATAGCCCCCGAGTATTAATCAGATTGCCGAGTGTTTTGATGATCTTTCTCCTTTGTATCATAGTCAAAAATAAAAACACGTTCCCTGTTGTCACAATATGAAACCCCGGCAAAAAGGAACCAATGAACGAACATCTGAATATGACATTTCTGTCGCTTTCCCTTTCTCTGCCGTCACAATATGTAAACCCGGCAAAAATGAACCAATCAATGGGCATGCTCTGGAGTGCGGTTAACTAATACCTGCACTCCAGTTAACGCACTGTGCATGTATATGTATAGTATATGTATACGATTTAACTCTGACACATTTTTCAACAGAAAGGTCCCCAAACTATGATACAAATGTCATTTTAATATTAAAGCTATAGTATAAAAATGAACTCTGATTTCTATTTACCATAATGACTTTCATATGTCTCTGGAGTACAGTCAAGTCAGCCTACATATTTACACTGTCTGACTTGGTACTGTACTGCCAGCAACTCAGTTTTTTATTTATAGATAATTAGGTATTGAAAATTTTTATGATGACAATATACAAAACAAATCCAATTGTAAACAAGGCAAGTCTGTTATAAGATTTTTACAAGGAACTGATTTAAAGCTTGTATAATTTATCTCAGTAACATTGAATGTTGCTGCTTTACCTTTTTCCCCCTATTTGGTCAGATTTATGCATGTAAAGACATCACGTTTTTTCCTGCATGATGATGACTGGAAATGATACCTATATAACTAATCTTATTAGTGTCAATGTCAAACAACACCAAATTAATATACAGGCTGTACAAAACTACTGTAAAACATTTGACATTGGGTCAGACAAACAGAAACTTTTGTTGACCAAATATTAAAGAATCCATCACTTGCAAAAGTATTGCATATCTTTGTTTTGTTGGATAGCCCATGACAGAATCTGATGCAGACATCTTGTTACAGAAGCTCTTACATATTTGCTTCACATGACGGTCTTTAAGATGACTGTGGAAGTCTGGCTACTGTGATGAAATGTCATTTTTTATCAAAATTGAAAACCGTCTCTTGCGTGCGTCTAAATTAGTATATTTGTAAAACACTGTTTACTTCAAGTGATAAATCACCTCTATTTAAAGGTCACCTACGGCAAGTATATCATCTGAAGGAAGCTCCCTGATTACAGCTGTTGGCCTCGCCAACAAGAAAGGTTTTGATACTAGCACCCCAGATAGTGAACGGTCATTTGATAGACATGCAAAATGCTTCACACCAGGTAAATATAGATATACATATATACTAGTAATACAAAATTCAAATGAGCTTTTTGTCAAGTTTAATATAGAGATTGTAGTGCTGCATCCTTCTGGTTCTATAAAGTATAAGAACAAGTTGCAATAGCATAGCAACTTAACCTGAATAGTAAGTTATATAAAAATAAAATTTTGCTTTAACAAGGTTTTATTTATTTTCTTTGTCTAATTTAATTTGACTACTCTTGTTACCGCGAAGTCGCCGGGACGGTAAAAAAAAAGTCGAGATAAACAAATAAGCTGTGATAAGAGTTTAGATCAAAGAAAAGCTGAATTTTCCACAGCAGACATGTTTGTACCTTTTACTAGTATCTACATAAACAACCGAGATATGACCAAAAAACATATGTAAAAATTGGCATAAAAAAAACAATAAAAACAAACAAACTGTAAAGAAAAAATTATTGCAGAGTGGAGATTGTAAGATATTTTGGTCACTTGATGCAAATAATGCTTTTATAATTCAGAGTCAAAGCATTCCTCTGAGAAGTGGGCGGTGAAAATTGCCGAGGCCATCACAGAAATCAGTGAAACTGAACCAGTAGAGAAACCAGAGCCTCCAAAACGTTCCTTGAGAAAACATCCTTCGTTTGAGACGTGGATACAGGGGTCGCCACATGATTCTGACGAATATGACACTGATATTGATATTGATGATTATGTAAAAAGTATGTTATGCACTTTTATAGACATTTTATACACTTTTATTCGGATTTCAATATATTTAAACAAAAAAATTTAAATAAATTTTTAAACAATTGTGTTAGAAACTATAAGTTAACTTTTGGTCCTATACTTCCTTATATGCTGTTTAATACCTATCAACATTTGATCACAAAAACTTTGTTAAATCTTCTATTATTTTGTATCCTAACACTTACTTGCAGTTATGCTAGTTCAACCTTGATAATTATTTTACATCTATATACATAGGTTTAGATAATTATAATTTAATCTAAGCACTTTGAGACTCGGAAACTTTTAGAGTTTATTTATTTCTATTCTCTGCACGCTTGTGGTATATTTTTTGGCTTCTTTAGTCTTGTTGTCAAGGTGACAGACATCCCCCTAACTGCCATAGGTTTTTAAATCCAGCAAAAGACTTTGTTTTCATTAATGTACAGAATCTATTCATTATATTTGTGGATCTGCCAAGGCACATTGCTCACATCTTAATTCATGCATGGAGCAACAGTGTTAGCATTTTCCAACAATAGCTACCTATTAAGTACGCCAATATTTTGAAATGTTTTTATGCCTGTCAAAGCCTCTTTTCTCCTTGTAAAATCTTGCTTAGTGCAATCAATTACATGACCTTTCATTTCTCATTATATAAATACAGTAATTATAAAAGATAGTCAACGTTTTATAAAATTTACTACACTGTAGCATGTTTAATATTAATAAAACAGGAGAGTGTAGGAAGCTTGTATGCCTCATGTTAGTTTATAGAGATCTAACATGTGTGTTTATTGGGTATTTATATAAAACCTCAACAAGGCCACATGTAATAATATTTAGTCCCATGTTTTCCCATCATTTCTGAAGATATAAAAGTAAGTACATGTTGTCTTTATTGTAAGAAGAAAATAACTGTTTTTAACTTGGTATTGTACTTTACTTAAAACTCTGCAATAAATATGTTTAACATTATGTTAATACAGAAATATAAATATATACGGGTCACAGACAGCAATTGTTACTCATCTTTTTCCAAACTAGTCACATGTAAAGGTGTTCATTATCTATTTCCCGCGCCATCCTGTTGCCCCATATACATATATACATGTACCAGTGCATATATATTTTTTATGATTCTTTTCTTGTAGTATGATTTACTCAGTTTGCAAAATGTAAAGACCTTTAAGTTGTTTATTTTTAAAGTTATGTGTTTTTATTCCCCTTTTATTATTCCCCTTTTATTTTTATAGTGGTTATATAGTAGTTAGAATTTTCTTTGGCCAGAAAAGGAAAGTGTGTGTATATAATGCTAACAATTGCTAGATATTTTATTGAATTTCTTTTCAGTTTTAGCTTGATATTTTGAAGAATAGGTAGAGATATTGTACTCACCCACTGGCATAGGAGTCACGCTTTGTTAAGCTTTTATGCAAGTTGGTATCTCAAAAAATACTGACGAAAATGGGTTGAAACTTCACACACTTGTTCCCTGTGATTATCTAACATGATAACATGTCCCATAACTCTGGTTTGCTTTTTTGCTTATTTATGCCCCTTTTTTTGACTTGGAAATTCTTGGGCAAGTTTTTGCATGTAAGCTGGTATCTCCATAACTACTGAAGGGAATTGGTGAAACTTTACACACTTATTTGAGAGCATAATATATAGGTGGTCACTGTCCAAGGCTCTTTGCTCTTACACAGATTTTAACATAATTGTTTGAACCTAGAAAATTCTACATTATCCAGGCTCTTATTTTACTATCAAGCACAGAGAATATTCGAGCACACTGTCCAACTGACAGTTCTTGTTTATGGATATTCCATATTCAGATATTTTGGAAGTGAGGCCTTATTGGCCAAGTGGTTATGGTCTCTGACTTGGAATCACTTGCCTATGCTTATCACTGCTGTGTGTTCAAATCTTGAAAGATACTTTTTGGATTCTTATGTGAGGAAGCTGTCCAGCTAGCTTACAGGTCAGTGGTTGTACATTGATGCCTGTTGAGTACATCTGCTTACCTCAATAGTGCATTGGATTTGTAATCCAGAGGTTACTGGTTCAATCTCAAGGAAAAAAATTCTCCATTGCAGTTGACTCTAATGGTCATTTGTCTTCCATCACTGATTTTAGAATCATACGGGATTAGTTTTAGCTCACTTCTGCAGAAATTGGTTATATACTTGTTAGTTATCAAGGAAAATTGGCTAGGTGGATAAACAGATGAGATACGACCCAGAACATGTTCAAATAAGCATAAAACCAGCCAAACAAACCGGCAAACATCATGCCCGAAATATTGCACAGACCGGCAATATAATATTACTTCAATTATTGAGCGAGAAAAAACAATCAAAATTTTTTAATTAAACTTATTAATTATTTCAATAGCTATATAAACACACTTTTCTTTTCCTCTCGCCTTTTCTATTTTTAATGAACTTGTTAATCAATTTGCGATTGTGTTGGTGGAACTATATTTAGACCTGAAGGAAGTTTACGAGAAGGAGAAACGAGTACGACAGTGGAGGAAGAGAACGCGGCTTACAAAGAAGGGTGATCATTCGTGTGATAATGATGTGAGATTTTATCTAACATACCTAATATGTCCATCTAGCTGAATAACGTTCCAGTTATAAATGATATAAATGCAATGATATCAATCGGACCCAAAAAAAATCACTTTGTTTGAAACAGTCGCTTTTCTTTAATTTTTATTCAATGCTAAATAAATACCATAAATATATACATGTATTATTATTATAAAGAACTTTGTAAATTAAAGAAAAGTTACTATTAAAGTGACTGGAACTTTATCACCTAGACGTAAAAAATGATGTAATTTCTGATTTCCTTACTGTCCACAAAGTGAAAGCTTGTCATCTAGGTATACAATAAAAATTTGTGTATTAACGCTAACCAACATTTGATATGTATAATACACTTATCCCTGGAACTGTCATTTAAAAGAGGTTTTGAAATCAAAATTACTAAAATCAATAATTACAAATTTTATAACGATACTGGTCAAGAACAAAAGATCAGAAAATTTTGCAAAGGGCGGCAATCAAAATTTATGTATTTTACATAGGTAATATCATGTTAAAGTTAATGAAGTTCCCATCATATTGTGATTAACAAAACTATATTAACAAATTTCTAGTGATTTTCATATTATAATCATTTTGAAGATACCTTTATAAAGTTGTTGTAAAAGGATTTTGTTATTGAAACAACCTTCAACTATTTAACCATTTTCATATTTCAAAATAAATATTTTGTACTGAACATAACTCTCAAGTTCTACCTCTGTAGCAATGTGGTTATATATAACAGTTATTACTGTAATTTTAATCGAATGAGCCGCGTCATGACAAAACCAACATAATGGGTTTGCGACCAGCATGGATCCAGACCAGCCTGCGCTTCCGCGCAGTCTGATCAGGATCCATGCTGTTCGCGATCAGTTTCTCTACTTGTAGTAGGGTTGGTAAGTGAACAGCATGGATCCTGATCAGACTGCGCGGATGCACAGGCTGGTCTGGATCCATGCTGGTCGCAAACCCATTATGTTGGTTTTGTCATGACGCGGCTCAAATATTCCTCTCTGTGATATGTCAGAGCTCATATTACACTTCAGATGTTTTGAAGTTCAAGATTTATTGTTTTATAAAAAAAACAATATATTCTGTGGCTAAAAAAAATATAAAGAAATATAGAAATTCATCAATTTCTGGAGACATTTAGCTTTGATGATGTTTATTTCATACAATATTAGTAAATGGTTGTGAACTTATATATTAGGTTTGTTAGATAAGATAAAACCATATTTGGAAATAATTCATACACAGAGATTATATATATATAACTTATGGAATATGCATGTTGATTTTGTCATATATATATATATCACAGAAACCAGAAATTATAGACTGAATAACATAGGCTGTCAAGTGAGCTTTCTTATCTTAATTTTTAATTTTTTTAATGCCGCTATTTTTGCACCACTATTTTCCTTTTGGACATAACTGATAAAATGTTAAAAGCGGACTGATTCCTACTTTTATGTTAGAAAGCTATCAAGGCCAAAGGTTCTGCTAAAGTGCCTTTTTTGTTCCTCCAATAACAAAAAGGATAACTGTGGTTGGCAGGGAAAGCCGAAGTGTTGTTTCACTGGCAACACAGACATCTGTGGTGTTCATTCACTAGCAAGGACAACTTTGGTGTTCCTTCTCTGGCACAATAATGAATAATAAGCACACAAATGGCTATTAAAAAGAATTTACTTTTTCCTCTTTTGCAATGGACCAAATAATGTCTGACTTTTTATAACACTAAAAATGTTAGAAAATCAGAATTCACAGTCCCTATTTATGGTACCACAGAAGCATTAGCTTTATTTGGCATATTTTAGGAAGGGATTTATGAATCTAGACATAAAGTGACTATACACTTGACAGTCTGTTTAACAGTCTTTATAGATATTTATTGTTTTAAATGAAAGGTTCTTGCATGTCAACTGTTGCTCTCTCCTTCCTTTAATCATTTTGTGATCCAGAAATGTGTGAGTTTGAATCCTAGAATGGAACCAACATCATCCCCCTCCTGTGTTACATTCCCTTACAATGATATAAAAAAATTATTCTAGCTTATTGTGGAATAGCTCGTTTCTATTTTATAAAACAATCAAAAATATGAATATATATAAATAAGCTTAACTGAGAGACAGTTAAATAGTCTGCCTAAAACCCAAGAGAATTTGGGTCTGAGCCCTTTCTGGAGTAAGAACTATATTTTTTTGACTGACACCAGAGTAAGAATAAAAAGAAAAAAAAAACACCTTAAAACTAATTAATTGAATGTGTAAGAAGAGTTTTTCTTAGTGATGCTTAAATTTATATATTTGAACTATTAGAATGCTCTTTTAACTGTTGTACATGATTATAAGTATTTATTATTAATTACAGAAGATGTTTTAAACCTGTATTAATCTTTTATCAGTAATATAAGTGTGTATAATGTATTGTTTGTATGCGTTTCAGATGAAATAACATATCTGTGTTCTGGAATAATTCTCGGGTTTGACGTATACTACCTCTGTGTGATTTATTTTTGAAGTGGCTAATAGAATGACACTTGTCCTATAATATAATACATGTATATTGTGTTGTTGTTGTAAAAATTAACATTTAGCAAACCACATAGTGTAGAAAATAAGTATATCCTTTGATGTGAACAAATTTCATACATGTTACAACCACTCAGCACAATATTTGCTCCATAAGTATTTGAAGTTTTTGAAAAATTAAGTTATTTTGTTAAGTACCCACTTCTCATATGATTTACATGCCTGAAGGTACGTAATATGGTATGGCGCTTTGCCATCAGGACATCTGTTGGTCAACAACTTGATTACCTATTACATAAGGTGTGCTGCCTTCCTACTGAGTTGGGAGTGTGTGTGCGTATTTGACTTCAGTTATACTCGCCACTGGTTGTCCATATGGGGAGCCCTCCAGAAAAGTGTTTTTCTTTTTAGATTTTAAGAGGATAGTGCAAGATACAGAAAGATGCCTTAATTCCAGAAGCTTCTCCTGGTTCTTTAAAGTACCAAGTGTTTCAGCACTCATTCATGGGACTGTGATTTAAAGTCTCATCCGAAAGACTGTTTGGAAGTATTGATTGGCCAGTCTGGAAATTAAACGGCTATATTTTCCTGTCATAGTATGCATAGCACAAAAAGACTTAATTGATGAAAGGGGCTTATGAGTAAACGTGGTATATAAGAACAAAAAGTTTTGCATTAGATGTCCAGTGACAATATACATTCGATTAGTAAAAAGAACGTATACCGTGAGGTGATCTTAAAATAGGACATTTCCAGTGACCTATAATGCTCAGACACACAGAGCTTTTGTTGAAATTAATATATTAACCAGATAATGTGTTTCTGGTTAGAAGCACAGATTTGAAAGTGTGAAAATTTTCCACAGTGGTATAATGATAAAATAGTTGGTTACGATCAGTTGCAATGAGCAGAAATAAAACTTGGACATATGTTTTAGCAACAATGATTGAGTTACCTAGTGCCCAGTAGCTTTTTTTTAATGAAATGTTAACGCACATATAAAATGATGTTCTAAATTAAGGTTGCCGAGTGCATGTGTTCGTTATTTGAGATTTCTGTTTAGTGTCACATGGTGCATGTTGTTAGACACATCAGGCCACTCGGTTTTCTGAGATATCTGAGACATTTTTGTATTTTCACCTAGGCTTGTTTTCTAAGAAATGTAAGGCATATTTTTACACCTACACTCCTATTTTGTCTGTCTATTATAATGACTTTGTTTATGACTATACTTAAATATTTTAATAACAGTGCACAAAACCAAAATTATAATGCTGTCTCTTCCACGAAGAGCTGGCATAGATTTTATCATTAGTTTATACTTAAGTTATTTTAGTTTGATTGTGTAAGAAGTAATAAGCTTATAAACACATCTCAAATCTGTTCCCGGAACCTGAACCAGTACTGAGTAATAAATGTAAAGATTCTTGCTCATGGTACTAATTGGTAGATCCCTTTTACTCTGACCTTTTATTTGAGAAGTGAAAGATTTAACCACAAACTTAGACATTTGTTCTGTTGATAAGAAATATGAAGTGGTGAAATAATTAAATGCACGAATTTGATAATTTTAATTAGACAAGTTAGGGTAATATAGGGATCAATCCATGGCTTACCCTTAATGGGGTTTGAACTAATCTTTTCATATTGCATGATTTCTAATAATAAATTTTTTTGATAAGTTGCTTTCACCTTTCAAACTATTTTCAATTTAAAGTTGGAATTGTCCTGCACATGAGGTAATAAAAATTTCTCCACCCATTCAGAATTTTGTTCATTCAGTGGTTAAATCTTCATGGCCATTAAGTTGAGTTTTTACATGGAGTTGTCCAACTCCTATTTTTGGGACAGTCCATTATCAAATTTTGGGATATCTAGATGAAAATATAAAATTGGTCATCCAACACTTGTATCATAGTTTGGGGACCTTTCTGTTGAAAATGTGTCAGAGTTAAATCCTTCAGAGTTTTAATCCTTCAACATTTATTAACATGGAGTAATTGGTGATTTGTAGAACAACAAGCAAAACCTTATGGTTCCTGGAACACTTTTTACATAGCTGGGCTTTCAGCATTTAACTGAAGTACTATAAATATAATGCATAAAAAAACCTTCATATCTATAAACTCAAGTTATAATAGAGAACGTTACAGCATTTAATTTGATAAATTTCAAACTACATATATTTAAAAAAAAAAAATTTTTTTCAAGGACTCAAAAATCATGGAGATACTATTATTGTTATTATGTTAAACATGTAATGGAAAACAATTCTAGTACAGCCTGTAATTATCAAATGAGACATTCACTGTAGGAAAACTAATTTTCCTGAGTTTTTACAACTTCACACAGTTTAAGACTTAAGTGCTTTTATACATGCTATTATTCTATTCATAAGTATGTTATTTGACACTGTTAAAAGGTAAATTTTTAAGAATTGTTGATATCATTTACTGATCATTATTGTAGTTGTATTGAACATGTGAATGCCAGACCATTAATATAATTACTTTTAAAATCAAATAACATACTGATTTTAAGTGCAGCAAAATGCTTCACAAATATTATATGTATTGATTTTCACTGAAAATGATGCATGCTTTTACCATTAATTCATTACATTTATACATTTGTATAATGGATTTCCCTATTTTTTTATATGGAATGGTTCATTGTTTTAATTTGGAACGGTCCATTGTGAATTAAAGGGATTTCAATATTGAGATGCTGAAATATACTTTGTTGATATACTATAGAAAATTGAGCAAGTAATTAGCCAGAGAAAATTAATATTAATGATAAAATTTGTATAAAAACTAGAGCAATTTTATAAGGTTTACAAGGACAACCTATTTTTTTCAGACAAATGAATTGAAACTTGATTCTGATTATATAAAGTTAATGATGTTTTTTATTATCAATATAAGATTGTTTTTTTCATTAGGTTGATGTCACGTTGACAAGCATATAAAATCTGACCTTTTATAATGTTTTAAGCTTCTCGTTTGTCGTATCTAGATTAATATAACTTTATGTGACTCTTGTGACAAGTGAAAAAGTTAATTATTGGTGTTTACTCTTTATTGAAAGAAAAAAATATGTTTTTTAAGTGGGTTTTTTTCCCCGAATGTTATTTGTCAAGTTAGGTGTAATCTTATATGATGAATGTTTCCACATGTATATGTTTAATGAAATTTTGAGACCTTAAATGACTGTATGTGTCTTTAAAATAGTACATGTCTTATAATAAATTTCGCCACCCTAGTGCAGTAACGGGTTAAGTCCTTCTAAATTTAACAGGAGTTTACCAGTTATTGCACTATCTAACATAAAACACTGAAATACATGTAATAGTTTGGTTTTGAATCTCATCAGAAAACTATTTTACATATTAAGGATGTGAGGAAGCTATCACGTGTCAGTGGTTCAAGCTGGGCTATTGTGAACATAATGAATATTTTGTTATCAATTACTGTATATCTTTGACCTTCTCAACCACTTTTACTTAAACAATAAATATTTACATTAGCTTTGTGTCCAGCTTTCACTACTACAAGGATATAAGATGCAAAATCAGAAATGAAAGTCTTCAATACGTGATTGTTATTATTTTTTAATCCTCAGAAATAGAAATAATTGAAAAAGAATAGAAAAAACTTCATTCAACTTGATAAATGTAATTCTGGCTCTAGTTGGTTAAACAGAAGTTTTATCCCAATTTATTGCAACCAATTCTCACAGATCTATTTTTGCCGTTATTAACTTAGAAAATTATAAGAACATGAGAAGAATTTTTTTTAGGCATACATGACTGAGAGGTTATGGTCGTTAACTTTAAACCACTTGCTCCTTACCTTCGTGGCTTTGAATCCTGTCAGAGACTTTGGATTCTTTCACATAAGAAAGCTATCCAGCTAGCTTACGGAATGTCGGTGGATCTACTCAGGTGCCTGAAATAATGCATTGAAGGGCACCCGAGTTCTTCCTCCACCAGTAAAGCTGGAAAGTCGTCATATGACCTAAACAGTGTTGGTGGGACTTAAAAACCAAGCCAACCAATCAGAATTGTTTTACTGACAATTTTAAAACATCTTGTTGATTTCTATGTTTGCAAATTGCTTGTCAAGATATATTTAACTTAACACAGAAGTGTTCTATTAAAGAATACTGTACTAAACTTATTTTTCTAGACAGACTGTATATAAATCTTTTTCTGATGCTGTGATAATAGATCAATTAACTGTGTTAGTTTTTAGCTTTAATTTCAAATATTAGTGAAAGTACTTGTTTTCAAATACTATTTTCATATCAATGTGTAAAACTAAGATAGAACTTTGATATCAATGTGAAACATTTTCAGATATTACCATTGTTTATCATATTCTTTCACATGATTATTTTAGGTGTACTTTTTTGTTATTCTTTTAGTATATTGGATATAGTAGAGAAAAATAAAGTATAAGAATGCCATATATTGTTGTTTTCTTGTTGGTAGAAATGTATTTCAATGCATGTTTTATTGATTTGAATTTTCATTAATTATGAAAAAGGTGTAGTTGAATTCATTTTATCTTTCTGACAAAGATAATTTTACCTTTCTGACAAAAATGACTTTACCTTTCTGACAAACAACTAACTTTGACATTATTATTATATAATACAACCTTAGTCTTACAAGTACAAGCTTCAATAACCAGTTCAGTAAAGTCAAACATAGTGAATTTGTTGCTCAATTAGGTACATGATAGTTTATTACAGTAACAAGTTACATGATTATTTTATTGCAAGATTTAAAATATTGCTTACTATTTTTTGATTATTGTGTTATAGTAATAATAATGATAATTTCAAATTAATTTTTTGTTGCATGACCTGAGTTTTCAGTAGTACTCTAGTTTAAACGTGAGTTTCACCTGACTAGCATAATCATCTTTTATAATATTTTAGTATTTTAACCTTGGGTAATAATTCTTTATGAATTAATTAATATTATTTTTGTGATTTTATTTCTTCATAAAATTTTAATTTTAGTATATTAACCAATTATTTAACATTTTTAACATCAAGAAATGACATTAACACCTAAAACTTGTAATACACGTACATGGTTTTCTGTTGTTTATTTTCAGGGAATATCAAAGAAGGAAGACCAATTGATCCTACAGGAACTGTAATGTACATGGATCAGTGTCAGGTTCAAGGTACGTCATAATCATAAAACTGGAGGGTCCGTGGCCGAGTGGTTAAGGTTGTTGACTCCAAACCACTTGCATCTCACTGCTGTGGGTTTGAATCCCGACAGGGACTTTGAATTATTTCATGTGAGGAATCCAGCTAGCTTAGGGAACGTCACTGGTTCTACTCAGATGCCGGTTTGTGCCTGAAATAATGCACGGAAGGGCACCTGAGATCTTCCTCCACCAGTAAAGCTGAACGTCGCCATTTGACCTATACTGTGTGGGTGTGACCTAAAACTCAATCAAACAAATAAAGATAATCATACAAGACTGGGTGGATAAGGTCACTTTGACATTGAGTCATTGTCCCTAAGGGACGAGGGTAGGAATCCAGCCAGAAACATTTAAGTCTGTAATGTGAGGAGACTGTCCAGCTAGCTTATTAGTTCTACCTAGATGCATTGTTATGAGAAATTGGGGGTTTTCTTAAAAGTTGCCATATGACCTTCACATCCTGAAGGTCACATTGTTTCATGAGCACTAACTAAAAAGGAAAGAAAATTGATAACATCAAAATATGCTTTCATAAGAAAAAGATTTATATTTTTTTAAATCTCTCCTTGATTAAGGTTTTTTTATTTGCTATTTATAAGATATAATAATATAAGTATTGACATTTTAGCTAATATTGTTATGTTAAAATAGTAATTTGGAAAGCGTTGATTTTTTGATTTTTTTAGAAGAAAATTTACTTCTCATAGAATATTTAATATGCTTATCTACTCTTTATATATGACAAAAGAAAAGTATGCCATGTTTTCATAAACTAATATCACCTTGAATGTGAGCTTAAGTATGAACAATCTGGTGATAAATGACACATTGAAAAAAAGGAACGTTTAACACGCCATTTTGATGTCAGAATATACGTCAGTTGATTACAAGACATCAAGTTAATTACAACATTATAGAATTTAGTTCAATATATTTCCTTGAAATTTTCCCATATGCATGTTTTGTTATTAAATTTGAGGGTATTACAGTGTGATTAAGAACAGTTTGTCAATGAAATGGTTTGAAATTAATCTCATAAGTCTGCTTCTTTCGTCATGAACAAAATTACCAGTATATCATGATTATAAATAATGATATATACTTGGAATTGAGATAGATTTCCTTCATAATTGTTATAAAGCATGGTCTTAGAACATGGTGTAACTAAAGTATTTTAATTTCCAGGTGGCTAGGTTAGTGGTTCCACTCAGATGTATGCTTGTGCAAAAATAATGTACAGAGAGCACCAAGGGGTTTTAATCGCTAACATTTAAGCTATTATGTTACTGTATGATATCTGTAATGTTAGTGTGGCTTAAAATCTAAGCAAAATAATTACTTTTTTGTTTAAAGACCCTTGTATGACAGTATGATATTTGATGATATTGATTTTATATATGTATTTATAAATGACAATTTTTCAGGTGTAATTCCAGTGTCATATATACAGCGCCACCTAGGGGATAAAAATTTACGTATGAGACATCATTATTTTGGCGGCACTGGCACTAAACCTATAGCTGTGGCGTTGCTGGTAAGTAAAATTAGTTTATCATTTATTGTGTTTTAGGTCACACAACAACACTTTAAAGGTCATAGAGACTTTTCAGCTTTATTAGCTGAGGAAGAGATCAGGTGCACCTTTCTGTATTATTTCAGGTACATAAGTAGGTATGAGGGTAGAAACACGGACCTTCTGTATGCTAGCGGGATAGTGTCCTCAAATGAAAGAATCCAAAGCCCCTTGTGGGATTCGAACTCACAGCAGTGAGGGGCAAGAGATTTGAAGTCATTTTCTTGGCCATTGAGAGGCCTTTAATGGGAAAAAAGAGAAAAACATTGAAATGTAGAAATCTGAGTTTTTCATCCATGATGGAGAAACATTTATGTCATGGACACAAAATGTTTTTTTATAACAAGTGATATAAAATAGCTACCTTCTTGGTGTAAGAGATGTTTCTACTCATATGACATACCCTGGATATTTCGAACTTATCCCATTTCCAACTCTTGTATATTACTGTATATTTAACTGGTCTGGTCCTGTTTTGAATTGTACAGTACTGATTTCAGGTATTGTCAATTTCAACATACCAATTGTCTAGTCAGATTGTATGTATAAAACTTCTTCACTATAAAAAATTAAATATCTGGTCATTCCTAAAAGAAGCAATTAATTGTATTCTCAGAAAAACACTATAACAGAGAATATTGACATCAGTGACAATTATGTAGAGGCAGAAGGGGCCAGATACATTGCTGGTATGCTGAGGAACAATACATTTATTACAGATCTGGTAAGGTTTCTTGTAATGTTTGTTCTATAAGTATCTTATATCTTTGTAAACAAGAAGTAAACCATTTGAGTCAAACAGAGCAACATTCACAGCTTTATAAATAGAGAATGTTCAAATGTGTTCTTTGATATTTTAATCATTATACAGATTATCAGGGTAGAATCATATTACATCTGTATGCTAGCTATAGACCCCTTCACATGTACTGGAGTCAGAGTCAGACTGGTAAAAGACAAGTCAATGACCCTTAACCTTGACCATGCTGTAATGTGAAGGAATTAGCTTTTGGCACCAGCGTCTTTCCAGTTTGGCAAGGCTCTACACTGTTCACTGACTAACTTCAAATTTTCATCTTGATATTTCTGAAATTCACAATGCACAGTTCTGAAAATGATAACTGGAAAAGTCCATTTTAGAAATTCAACGTTAATCTTTATTCTGCTAAATTTATGTTTAATCTTTATTCTTTAATCTTTATTCTGCTAAATTTAGGTTGGTTTAATCTTTATTCTGCTAAATTTATGTTTTATCTTTATTCTTCTAAATTTAGGTTGGTTTAATCTTTATTGTGCTAAATTTATGTTTAATTTATATTCTGATAAATTTAGGTTGGTTTAATCTTTATTCTGCTAAATTTAGGTTTAATTTATATTCTGATAAATTTAGGTTGGTTTAATCTTTATTCTGCTAAATTTAGGTTTAATCTTTATTCTGCTAAATTTAAAAGTTGCTCTACTCAGAATTATTGAAGGAATTTCAATATATAGATACTACTATTGAATAAGTAACAGTATAAAGTCTGGTCTCAAAGCCCAAGATGTGTAGACTGGCCTAGCTTCATACTTGAACCATTCAAAATCATTGTCACTGCCAACACTAGAAGGAATTGTTTCAGTCACATGTGAACAAAATTTGTCTGACTATATAAAAGCCTCCTGTAACAATTCAGATGTAAGATTGTAACTTTACTTATTAACCACTTGCCCTTTTGGAACCAAAGGTTATTAGCCTTTGCCACCACTATAGAAACATGCCAGCCTGTACATCTGTTTAATGTGACTGGGCTTTATATTGTGGCTGATCAAATTCTAAATTCTCTTAGATTGATAATGGACAGTCATAAAAATAGAGACTGGACAAGTTCATTTAAGAAATTCAGCAATTAAAGGGTTAACAATACATTCAAAACTGTAAATTGAATATGAAATATTTTGAAAGAAACATTTTGTCAATCCCTTTGTTATATAAGTATCATGTAGGATATTGTTCCTTATTGTCATTATTTGTTATGGATCTGCTCCCTGTCTTAAAATATTGTCATAATTATTGTTCTATAGTCTATATATTTATCATTCATAATATTTCATATTTCTTAATACAATGTATATCAAATTTCGTTTCATTATTGATTTTTAAAGCTAAATAGGGGATGACACTTCTTGAATTTACAGACAGGAAATATGCCACTAGCAATTTACAAATATTCTTCCCTGTGCACTTCTGAATTCCAAGAATTTAACACTAATCAGTTTTTCCAAGAATCGAATTATATTTAGAATTTCAAGGCCTTGTTTAAATTTTACGTCATGATATTTTACGTAGTTGTTTGAAATTTTCTTAGACTGTCATCATGTTTATTGTGATGGGAGTGCCACATGTGCATATGCTCCTTACTTTCATGAATGTTACATCATCTACAGTAATTAATTAGCCATCCTATATATTTTGAGACCATGTTAATATAACAGAATTGCCTGACTCTAAAAACTGTCCATTGTTAAAACTGTCCATTGTTAAGATCTTTTTTTGACATGACAGACTTGGAGATAATTTTTCCAGATAAATGTTTTGTTTGATGTAATTCCAATTCTCTTTCTTATTATGAATTATGAAAAATGACCCAAAATTAAAAAGCATTTCAATGCTAAGAATAGCACAAAAATGTGATATTCAATTCATTTCTTAGTATATTTCTTAATTATCATTTGCATATCTTCTGTTTTTGAGTTCACCAGCTGATCTATGATCAACAGACGGTAGGATTTTGAAGTACAACACCAATTAAAGCTAAGATGTACCAGCAAATCTTAATGTGTGAAGGCTACTATTTCTTTAATTCGTAAACCTTAATACTATATGTAAGGGATGGGACATATTCTATTTTGAAAATCTTGTCGTACAGACCTCCCGCATTGACAAGTAACAGATTGCCAAATTATCTCCTGATAATGGGTGTAATGAATGAAATTCCAGAACATTTAGGGCTAAAAGGTAAACATTGTAGTAAGATGGGGTAAAAATGATGTTGAAAAACTCTACAGGAGACCCAAAGTTGTGATATGTTCGAATCCCATATTATTCCAAAAATGATTATGTCATAGTATTGAACTGTTCTCTAATCAGGGGAGGTAGTTTGTAGGCGGCCCGATAGCTCAGTCAGTAGAGCCACACTACGGTATTCCGAGGGTCCCAGGTTTGAGTCTTGGTCAGGCTGCACATTAAAAAAAAAAATTAAAATTTTTTTTTTTAAAATAGAGGTAATGGAGAACAAAAAATTTGTTTAGTGAGTAAAGTATGTAAGGGATCAATTTGGAGCGAACATTTTCTTTTTAGGGAAACCTCGAAAGATTCCTGCACTGCAAAATTACTGTCTGAATGCAAATGTTGTATTGCTTTGAAAATTGTACATCTTATCTCTTAATAAGTGTTGTACAACTAAATCCTACCATCTGTTTAGGCCTTTAAGAAATTGGAATTTGATGTTTTTAGGCTATTTGAAATCAGTGGAGTTCCTTTAATTTTAGGAAAGTATAAATTCAAGCAGTCAACTGTATAGACGGATCATATCATAGGGCATGTCTAGATAATGCTGACCTAGCTCTATAATTATCACTTCTGGTTGTGAATTGAATAAATGAAATATATGGAGTAGAATATTTTTCTTGTATTTTTATTTATGAAATGTATTATACAAATAATGCAGATAAGACATTGAAAAAGGAATAAAGTCATTAAGTTTTAGGAAAGTATAAAATCAAGCAGTCAACTGTATAGACAGATAATATCATAGGGCATGTGTAGATAATGCAGATAAGACATTGAAAAAGGAATAAAGTCGTTAAGTTTTAAACTTTACCATGCTAAATATCTCAATTTGGTCTTGCCCAGATCTTTCAATCTAGACAAAACTATATCTAGAATAATTAACTTTATTTACTTATTGAAAAGTGAACAATGCAGACCATGATAAGATGGCACAGATGTGGTGGCTGAGCTTGGTTTACATACACAACTGCCACCAACAGGCTGAGAGTTTTTTCTCAGAATTTTTCCTGTAAACTTTTTTATTTTACTTACTTTTGCTATAATTTTGCCAATTTTTTTTTCACTTACAATGTTTTAAAGACTTGTTTTTATGCCACAATAAATAAAACTCCCATGTAGTCTTGTATGGACAGTCCTTGTTCTTCTTAACATTGGCAATCTTTAATTAATTTTGATATGCCTACATACATAGTGAGTGAGGAAGAGACAGTTCTATAACTTCTATATGCAAGGTTGTAGACCCTCAGTGAAGAAAATGACAAATTTTATTCTATTTTTAAAGGAAGATAATATAAATGTTTGCTATTTTAAGAAAGTGAAAATAATCCTTCACATTGAGGAAGGTTTTTTTTTCCATTCAGTTTTTATTTTTTTAGATAGAAATGTCTCTTTTCAAGAAAAATGAAAGCCTGATCTTTTGTAATTATATCATTATGGTAGTTTTTTATGACATGATGTCATGTTGATATGATTAGATTAAAATTCTGAAAATAGTTTTTATCAACTGAATTTTTATTGGCTTACAGTATATGAATTCCAATATATCTACATACTGTAGGTCTAATGTGATGATATTCTAAAAATAAACTGAAAGCCTAGTTTGTTAGGGAAATAGCTTGTAATACTGTACTGTATTACAGTACAGTACTGGTGTTATGATAATGCTAGAAGGTATCATAAATATAATGATCTACAAGTAAAGAAACTGTCAGAAAAATAAGAAAATGCCTAAACTAATGCACTTATTTGTTTGATACAGAATAATTAGACCAAAAATTAACTATGGTACTGTATGGTATAGAATTTTTAGGCCAAAAATTAACTAGGGTACTGTATGGTGTAGGATTATTAGACCAAAATTAAATTAATTATGATACTGTTATATGTAGAATAATTTAACCAAATATTAACTTGAGTACTGACTATGGCATAGAATAATAAGACCATAATAGCTATGTTACTGTAAGATATAGGAAAATTAGACCAAAATTTAACTATGGTACTGCTGCAACTTGTAGCTAGGTACAACAGCATAATTTTTACATTTTTCTCTGAACTCGGACTGAACAGTATTAATTATAATTTGTATAAACTTGGAAAACTGAATTTCACTTCCTGTCATTGCTCTTATTGGAAAATAATTTTTGTTTCAGCAGAACTAAGTATTAAGTAATCACTGTGATTTTTTTTTTCTTTTCAGAATATATCAAAAAATTTTATAGGGAGAGATGGATTTTCAGCCATTTGCAGAATGCTTGAGTCAAATACAACCTTGAAAACGCTTTGTGTATCAGGTAAAGTAGACTGTCATTATCATTTAATGTGAATAGAAAAAAGTAAAATGGTTGAAATCATAAAGTGAACAAAACTGAGCAAATTATGCTTTATTTACTAACTCATATTGCATTGAGTAAGTGCAATTATAATTCATTAACAACTCTTTATCATTTGCTACTATAATCTTTCAATGTATTCCGAATACATCAACTGGGTATTAGATTGGTGAATGTTGGTGGCAGAATGATATAATATTGATTTATGTTGAGACATTATTTCTGGAATAAACAGGTCTGTTCAGGAATTCTTATTTCATTCATAGATTGACATATCACAAATAAGCACAAGACCGGAAACAAACTCTATACATTGAAGCATGTTCTTATGAAATATAGACATGTCTCTTTGTTGCTATTTATAGATCATAATATTTTGAAATTTTCCACTCCTATCAATGTAAACACACTTTTATCTTCCTAAATTTTAAATCTGTTGTTTGATTAAGAGTGTTATCAGTTCTTACTGTATGAAGTAAGACTAATAAATTGACAACAGAGATAACATTGTTGTCTAAAAATAGCCCTTACTATAAATCTACATTATCTACATTTGTATATAGTAATCTATTTCATTTACTAATTAGATCCAATTGTCTGACCCACTGTCTGCCATCTGATCTAGTTTCTTTATACATGTATACAATGATATGTTAGTGTATTAATAGTACAGAAAGTTCATTATAAAGTACTTGATAATCATAAACAATAGGGATGAAATGTTTACACAGTTTTCTTAATGTATAATAAAGAAAAACAATCATGTTCAACATCACCCAGTCAGCTTAATGTTTATAAAAACAATGTAAAGAGAAAATACTATATAGATTGATAGTGGTTGAAATTGTTCACAGATTATATGACGATGAAATGTATAACAGAATTCAATAAACACTATTGAATAAAGACATTCAGAATATTAGTGATGTTTTACAATGTCATGTCTCTGGGTTTCTTTGCACGATTTGAGCGGAAGCAATGAGCTTTGTCAACACCATACTATCCCCATCTAAATTTAATTAGCTGGTGATGAGTTCTTTCACTAGAGCTTTGCAGTCCTCTGTATGGTGTCTGTCTGCTCCAGTTGTTTGTTCTGGAACACCATAGAATTTTAAGTTTTCGCGCAGTGAGCGAGACTCTAGGTGAAAGATCTTTATCATTAATTTAGACCTTTGGCTCTCTAATGACTATGATTTGTTTTCTATATAAGTATATGATTTTTCTGCTGCCTATTATAAGTTTCCAAAATTATTGTCTGAATTTTGAAAAATAAAAAAAAGGAAATCAGAATACATCCATTATCATATTTTATCTTTTATAGGCAACCAACTGACAGATTCCTGTGCCCAATGTTTGATAGAAGGCCTAAAGAATAACACATCACTCACATCTTTAGATCTTAGTGGAAATGGGTTTGGTGAACAAGGCGGGATTTATATAGGAGGAGCTTTGGTAAGACACACCTCCTTTCTCTTGTTCTCTAGGGATAAACACTATTGAATGTTTAGATAGGAGAAGCTCTGGAAAGATACTCCTCAAATCTCTTGTTCTCAGCTTAAATGCATCTAAAACTAAGCAAGGTGAGTTTATGTAGGAGGAGCTCTGGTGAGAAACACCTCCATTCTCTTGTACTCAGTGTGATTTTATCTTGGGATGAACAAGGCAGGATTTATATAGGAGGAGCTAGGGTAAGACACACCTTGATTCTCTTGCTCACAGTGTAAATGTATCTAGGGATTAAGAAGCTGTTTATACAGGGTACTTTTAACTGGTTACACCTTGATTTTCTTGGTTTATACAGAATTTATTTTAGTTCGATTGCACAGGAAGCTATAAGCTTATAAACGCACTTTCGAATCCATTCCTGGAACCAACCAGTACTGAGCAATGAGTGTAAAGTTTCTTGCTCAAGGAAACAACGACTTGCCCCTGTCAGGGTTTGAACCCATGCGGCTAGCGATCATTAGATTACTAGTCCGAAGCGTTAACCACTTGGCCATGCCGCCACTTGATTTTCTTGTTCGTTCTTTTTGTGAATAAGGTTATATGGACAGAGTTAGGAATATGAATAAGTTACCCCTTTTCCTATTATTTAGTCAAACTGTTTTTAATAAACAAGTTCGAACTTACATATTTAGTTTTGGTGAGTACAACCTGCATTCCCTTGGTGAAGCTGAAAATGCATTTGGCAAAAAATGATTGGTCTATATATATTATGCAGAGGTAAAGGAAAGTGAACCTTCTTTGTTTAGAATTCATTGAAAATTGCATTTTCTTTTTTCATGAACTTAAAGAAAATACAAGCATGATTTGCCTTTAGCTTTAAATAATAATTAACATGTTGTTATACTATTTTCAGTCATTGAACGAAGGATTGATAGATATAGACTGTAGCTGGAACTCATTCAGAAATCGTGGCGGGGCGGCACTTTTATCCTCTCTTGCTGTAAGCAATCTTATTATTTTTGTAAAATGGCTATAGGAATTGCTTTAACACGACTCTTTGTAAAACTCTTTGTAAAATTTTTTCAATAAAGCAGTATTGTTCTGAGTTTTTGACAATTTATAATCTTATAATTTATCTCATAATTTATAAGTCTTAGTTCTTGAAGTAGCTGTTTTTTATAAACTTATAATAATAAGTCTTAGTTCTTGAAGTCGCTGTTTTTGATTTTGGTATCAAGTGTTTCAGATAATTCTCTTTTCAGTTTAAAAAATATGAAACGGAGCTCCATTTAAATAATTTTATTTCTATATTTTTACTACTTTTGTATTATTCTGAGCACACCAAAAAGTAACTGCTTAAAACTTTACAAAGAGCATCATACAAGTATACATTGTATTTCTAAATAAAGTTGTTACCTTGTCTTTGTGCTTGTGTATCAGATTATTAATAAACACTGGAGCATATTAAACAAACAGACTCTCTCTATAAAATTTGAATTTCAACCTGACACTGATGATGTTATCTTTTTCACAAATGATTCTTGGTCAAATTTACACTGGTGGAAATTAAGAGTGCATGCTTTCTTTGCTGAAATAAAATCCAGTATTGAGTGACAGGTCTGAGTATTGTAGAATCTCAAGTTCTCAGAATTACCTGAAGCCATTTGTTTTTGCTAGCTTATTTATTTAGAAAGCTGAAAAATACTGAGGCATAATTGAGACTGATTTTGTACCTAGGCACACTAGTTGGAGAACCTTCCATCTGAAATAGGGGTTTGATGCATGATTTGATTAGATGCAAGGTGTTTGAAACTATAAGCATGTAACTCATTTTTTGGTGATTTTCAGAAAAATCGTACAATTGAAGTGTTGGATTTATCATGGAATGGTTTGGGATCTGCAGGGGCTGAGGCTCTTAAAACTGCCCTTAAAATAAACACCACTTTAAAGGTGCTCGACCTCACGTAAGTTTCTTTTTGTTTTAGTTATTATCATTATATTTTAATGTCATTTCTGTTTCAACCATAAACAGTATGAATCTGTTGATATTTGATTTAATTGGTCTATACATGATTTATGGGTCATTATTTTGAAGACAATCTTTAATGTTAATATGTATGCATAATATATATTTTAAAGTAAATTCTCCAGTTTATTAGTAAGTAAGCCAGATACGATTTATGTTACATGTTTTTTAATAAAGAACTTTACTTTAGGGCTATATAAAATGTTCATTGAGAAGATTGTGCTATTGTGTAATGTTTGAACAAATTGTATTTTTTTCCATTGCAGGAATAATCGTTTTAACACAAAAGCAGCAGAAAGTATAAGCTGGGGACTGAGTCGTAACACTGGTTTAGAAACTTTAGTGGTAAACTTATCATTTGTACAGTTATTAATGTTGAACATTCATTCAAAGCAGCTTTCAGCTTTCATTTTTTGTTAGAAAAACAATTTTATGTTAATGTTTCAAACTGAGTATTTCAGTTACTTTGCCTTGGAAAAGTGCATTATATCAAGCCTTCTTCAAAACAGCGTCCCTGGATCTATTTATAATGTGTCAGTGACAATCGTTCCTAAAATTAGAGGATCGTGTCTACTTTACTAATCTAAATATCTGTTATTCTAAATGATTTATTTGAAGAATATGGTACTGTTAGTTATTTGTCCAAAAAAAAATCATAGCACATTATTATCACATACCCTTGCCGATTTGCAACTCCATGAAAATTGTATTGCACAGCCGTGCATATATTTTGACCTGACGTCCTTAGCGTTATACAAGCATAATAGAGTAAGACACGCTAAATGTGAGCATTATACTATTGGCACGTCAATGAAAATGACTTCTTTTTTTTCTTTAAATGGTCTTTATTTTGGGTATGTGATAAAAATAATACTAAATTCACGTAAGTTCATCACTGAATTTATTGAACCTGTTAAATAAAATAATATGATGCTCTCCAGAGGCTCACATAATATAATTTTATTCAACTCGTGCAATAAATTCAGTATTGAACTTACACTTCTTCAATTTTCTGCAGCTAAATATGAATCCATTAAAAGATGCTGGAGTGGAAGCAGTACTGAAAGCTGTCGAGAAGCATCCTAACCTTCATCTACTGTCAATAGAGGTAAGATAATTAATATGTTAAATCATGGAGAAAAAAGCTGTGTATCATTATAACTTGTTTATTAGTTAAGTGAAGTTGGAAGTTTCATGTGAAGTTACAAAAGTTTACCTTATTTTTTTGCAGTGTTGTGTCGTTTTTGAATTATTATTGCCATAAGTATATTTAAGGTTATATTATTTGTAAAGTTAATACAAAATATTTACTTTTTATAGCTTAATTGATTTTTGTCAAATTTGCTTCTTTTTTAAAAATTTTTTTATCAAAGCTTGCGGAAATAATGACATGCCTTTACTTACCAGTAGACAGGCTATTTCACGAAGTGTAATAAAACTATTTTGATTTTAATATTTGTATCTTACATTCATTGAATAAGTTATGGACAGATTCAAATTCAAAGCAGTCTATGACACAAATCTTGATGTTTGAATTAAGGTTAATTGTACAACCATATTTACTTGTGTCATGTATTTCCCTGTCTGACTGTTTTTAGCTCACCTGTCACAAAGTGACAGGGTGAGCTTTTGTGATCGCTTTTCGTTCGGCGTCCGTCCGTTGTCCGTCCGTCCGTCGTCCGTCCGTCCGTCTTCCGTCCGTAAACTTTTACTTTAAATGACATCTCCTCATAAACCACTAAGCCAATTTCATCCAAACTTCACAGGAATGTTCCTTTGGTGGTCACCTTTAAAAATTGTTCAAAGAATTTAATTCCATGCAGAACTCTGGTTGCCATGGCAACCGAAAGAAAAAACTTTAAAAATCTTCTTTGAAAAAACCATAAGAGCTAGAGCTTAGATATTTGGCATGAAACATCTTCTAGTGAGTGTCTACCAAGTTTGTTCAAATAAAAGCCCTGGGGTCAAAATTGGCCCCGCCCCGGGGGGTCATTGATTTTCCCTATATGCATATAGTAAAAACTTAAAAAATCTTCTTTTAAAGAACCCAAAGAGCTAGAGCTAAGATATTTAGCATGAAACATGTTCTAATGGGTGTCTACCAAGTTTGTTCAAATAAAAGCCCTGGGGTCAGAATTGGCCCCGCCCCCGGGGGGTCATTGATTTTCCCTATATGCATATAGTAAAAACTTAAAAAATCTTCTTTTAAAGAACTCAAAGAGCTATGACTAAGATATTGAGCATCAAACATGTTCTAATAGGTGTCTACCAAGTTTGTTCAAATAAAAGCCCTGGGGTGAAAATTGGCCCCGCCCCAGGGGGTCATTGATTTTTCCTATATGCATATAGTAAAAACTTAAAAAATCTTCTTTTAAAGAACCAAAAGAGTTAGAGCTCAGATATTTAGCATCAAACATGTTCTAATAGGTGTCTACCAAGTTTGTTCAAATAAAAGCCCTGGGGTCAAAATTGGCCCCGCCCGGGGGGTCATTGATTTTCTTTATATGTGTATAGCAAAAACTTAAAATCTTCTTTGAAAAAACCCAAATAGCTAGAGTTTAGATATTAAGCATGAAACATCTTCTAGTAAATGTCTACAAAGTTTGTTCAGATAAAAGCCCTGGGGTCAAAACTGGCCCTGCCCCAGGGGTGTCATTGTTTTTAACTATATGTGTATAGTAAAAACTTTAAAAAAATCTTCTTTTAAAAAGCCCAATGAGCTAGCGCTTAGATGTTTAGCATGAAACATCTTCTTATGGGTGTCTACCAAGTTTGTGCAAATAAAAACCCTTGGGTTAAGTTGGCCCTGCAACGTTGGAGGGGGGTGGGTGGGGGTTGGGGGGCCTATATACAGGTGAGCGACCTCAGGGCCATCATGGCCCTCTTGTTTCTATTTTGTTTACATGAAAATATAATACAGAATCATTGTCAAGTGATTTCATGGAATGTATATTTCCCTTGTGTAAGGGGAAGTAACTAGAATTACAACATGAAACTTGATCCAGTTATTATACAGGATTTATTCTTTCAAAACAACATTTAATGCAGAATTTAGGGTAGAATTAAAAGCAGTTTAGAAAATTTATTTTTCAGAATAAAATAGTTATCTTAAAAAGACAAGACATTATTTAAAATTTTAAACTTTATTAACACGAGGTTTATTTTTTACAGCAAACATTTATTTGGATCCTAATGCTAGTGTAAGCTTAAATGTTGTAACAGCGTGTTGTAAACTCTGTACTTCTATTTTATCAAGCATGGTAAATTGTAACTTTTTTTGTTGAAACTTCATTCTATTACAATAAACTGCATGGGTCCTTACTTAAATTCATACAGGAAGTTCCTAAAAATTGAAAATCAATACTGTTGCATTTACCTTATTTCGGACAAGTTAAGTTAAATAGGTTAAAATAAAATTGCATGACCTGTCACTAGAAAAATAAAAATGCATATGTTTGTTTCACTCTAATTTACAATTTAATTCTAGACGAGATTACATTGTTAGTCCAGTTTATTTTGACTTGTCTAACTGCATGTTTGTGTTTAACATGGAAGACCCTTTTACAATAGTAATTAAAAAAAGGAACTTAATGGTCTTACCCTAAATTGATTCCATGATAAAATTTCATTTCTTTTTTTAAATGATGATAACAGGGGTTATCCTACTGACCTTTGCATCTGGGTCATCTAACACGTAAGGTTTAAGTTTTATGTGCAACATCATTCACATCTCATTAACTTCTGTAGGTTTTTCATGGCTGTCTTCATAACAAAAATATTTGAAACTTCAATCTCTTCTGGGTCAAAATTGTACTGAAACACACTGCCAAAAAACAAAAATTCTAGCATGAATTTTCATTTACCATTTTCCTTATAAAATTCTTGTAACAATGAATGGCTTTTGTTTTACTATTGCCCACTTGTTATATCTTTTGTAAATGTTAATTGTCTACCTTTGGGAGCTGCATGAGTTTTTTTCTACTTGCCTTGCTGCACTGAAAGATTACTGTTTTCTGAAGTATATGTTTTAAAGACCTAGTTAAACAGACAGTCTGACAGTATGAGAAAAGTTTTATAAATCTTGGAAATGATCGAACAATTAACATTTGTAACAAATATCTGTGTTAACCATTTATGCTTGGGTGTCCGTGGCCGAGTGGTTAAGGTCGTTGACTTCAAACCACTTGCCCCTCACTGCTAGGGTTCAAATCCCTACAGAGACTTTAGGTTAGCCAGCAGCTAGCTTTTGAAATTTCAGTTGTTCTACTCTGATGCCCACTTGTGCCTGAAATAATGCATGGAAGGGCACCTGAGGAGTTCCTCCACCAGTAAAGCTGGAATGTTGCCATATGACATATACTGTGTTTGTGCGACATAAAACTCAAAAAGAATAAAAAAAAGCCATTTATGCTACAATTATAAAAAAGAATGAGAACTTTCCCAAATGTCTTGTTATGGAATGGAAAATCAGTTGCACTGTTAGATATTCATGGGTTAGAAGAATGAGATATAGTTAATAATTCTCTTCATAGATTTTGGTCAAATTTATATTTTCTCAAATGTTTTTTTTTTTATATGATTCTGCCTTATTTTCAGTAAATCATTGTAGTTTATCAAAAGGGTAAGCATAACAACCCTATTCCAACTACAGCTTTAACCATTTTGTATAGATCATACTTGTACAGTATGGTCAAAAATTATATTTATTGCTTATTCCCTCCCTTGGATGCATATGTTTCGTATATATTTGGAAGTTTTATGTATTTTTGGACATGGATTGAGTTATTTATTGTTTATAGATGTGTAAACATATTTTACTGTATAAACTGTATAATATTTGGCATATTTTTCTTCATTTTTATGCTGCTTGTATTTTTGTAATGCAGAGAATAGGGGTAAGTGAATGGTGGTTGTAGAAACTGGGTGCTGGTTGATTTATAAATCAATATGTTATAGAAATACTTCTTTTGTGTATTGTTTTATTTGTTAAGGTAGTAGATTTATTTTAATTTTGTGTGTGTTCATGTTAACAGAAGGCAGACAGATTTACTGATTTATGTGTATTTAGATGCAGTCAGATACAGACTAGCTTCCCATTGAGTCTGTAGGCTTGATTAAGCATTGTTTGCTGTTCAGATAGGCAGAAATCATAATTGCTGATTGTCTGAGCAGTAGACTGCATTAGAATAACAACTCACACTATATGAAACCATACTGCACTTGATATTGTGAAGTTCTATAACCAGTCTATATGCACAATGGAAATGGAATAAAATATGTTGAGATACAGTCAGAAATAAACAAGAGTATAATAATGCTATATAATCATAATGGCTTCCCTCTTTTCTTTCTTTTTATGCCCCGAATGACGGCATATTAAAATTGCACTGTCTATCCATCTGTCCGTCTGTCTGTCCCAACTTGCACAACATTCATGTTCAGACTGTAACTTTGTCTTGCATTGAAAGATTTTGAAATAATTTGGCACAAATGTTTATATGACATGTCCAAGACCCATGTCCCTACCTTCAAGGTCAAGGTCACACTTACACTTTGAAGATACACATTCTCACAAGTAGAGTTTAAAGATACACACATTTGTGTCTGGGGTGCATTGAAGGATTTTAAAATAACTTAGCACATAAGTCTAACAAAGCCAGACGACATGTCACATCCAAGACCCATTTCTAATCCAAAAATGTCAAGGTCACACTAAGAGGTTGAAGGTACACATTTGTGTCCGTACTGTAACATTGTCATGCATTGAAGGATTTTAAAATAACTTGGCATAAATGTCTACAGTCTACCATATCAAGATAACCTGTTGCGTCCAAGACCCATGTCCCTACCTCCATGGTCAAGGTGGTAAGTTTTCTATGAATAGCACTTCATTTCACAAAGACAATATTCAGCAATTAGATACTTTTATTCTCTTTTCTTTTCATAATTGTAACCTTCCTGCAACATTTACAAAACTTTTTCAGGGGCATTCATCACTTTTGCGTGACAGCTCTTGTTTTGTTATCATCACGTCTCACAAGATAGTTTGAGATCCTTCCTTGTTTAATATTGAACAGGAAACAAGTAGCAATTGATTTTAATTTTTATATTTCATAGGTATAGCAAAAATAAACATGTGATTGTGCACACATATTGAAGAAATAATGGAAAATGTTAATTTTGAATTTATCCTGATTTAGAATATCAAAATTGATATTAACTTGTATATTTCTATTTACAGAATTGTGGTGTAAGTAATTATTTTCCATATATGCAATGATAGTATATATACATTATGTTTTGCTCGCTAAACTATTTATGAGCCGCGTCACGACAAAACCAACATAATGGGTTTGCGACCAGCATGGATCCAGACCAGCCTGCGCATCCGCGCAATCTGATCAGGATCCATGCTGTTCGCTTACCAACTCTATTACAAGTAGAGAAACTGATAGCAAACAGCATGGATCCTGATTAGACTGCGCGGATGCGCAGGCTGGTCTGGATCCATGCTGGTCGCAAACCCATTATGTTGGTTTTGTCGTGACGCGGCTCATATGTAGATGATATATATATTGACTGAATTGAGGCAATTTAATACAAATAAACTAGCTTGTAGGTGTTATTCTGCTGGTAGCATTCACAATAAGTTAAGGTATTTTTTTTTATTTTTTTTTGTCAAATGGATTTTTAGATTCCTTGTCGTATTTTAGTGTGTTAGTTCAGGGTAGTGGAGGATTAGAAGTTAAGCATGTTAATGTGAGTGGGTTTGGGGTTGGAGACCTTGCAGGGTGTTGAAGTCACTTATTCTATTTTTCTTGTCTTCAGAGCTCACTGTTTAAATTCTGATAGATTTTTTTATATAAAATGGAAGGTTTCAGCTTACACAGAACTTGATGTGAATGTTAATGCCTTCAGGCAAAAATAAGTTGCTAGTTATAGCAACAAAATATACTTTTTTGTTCTGTTTGAAATCATTTTTGTTCAATTTAGAATCATTTTTGTTCATCTAGAATCATGTTTTGTTCATTTTAGAATTCATTATAAAGTAAAAATGTGACAGAATATTTGATATTTTATCAAATAAAACCTGCAACATTTTCTATTTGCCATGCTGAACAATCCATAAAGATTCATATTTCTCTATTTCATTCACACACCATGCATGGATTAAATTTTTCTATTTGGAATAATTATAATTAAAAAGTATTTGAAATTCAGCAGATTTTTTATCATCAAGAGGATCGGCAAATAAACATTTATAAACTGGTCTAATTTTAATGTAAGAGGGCTGACCAAAAAATATCCACAAAGTACTTGTATTCATATCTTGATTACATGTATTTGAAGACCAAACACAATTGAGCTGGTCACGACAAAACCAACATAATGGGTTTGCATCCGCGCAGTCTGATCAGGATCCATGCTGTTCGCTATCAGTTTCTCTACTTGTTATAGGGTTTGTAAGCGAACAGCATGGATCCTGATCAGACTGCGCGGATGTGCAAGCTGGTCTGGATCCATGCTGGTCCATGCTGGTCGCAAACCCATTATGTTGGTTTTTTCGTGACATGGCTCAATTATTGTTTGCAGTATTAGACATTAGTATGTTTATATCTTTAGATCAGACATAGGTCATTTATTGATCCATGCTCTTCTCTTAATTTCTTCATAAAATTGTGAAAAGATTAAAATCAGTCAAGATAAAATACATACAGTTTTCAAAGCATGCAGGTTGAAGTTTATAATGACATTTTGTGTCAATATCAGACTCTGCAAAAGTAATAATTTCCAAAAACATTTGACTGCCCATTGTTTTGCTAATTAACATGAATAATATTGTATAATATAGTACATAGATTATTTATATGTTAGCTATAATTATAGAACTAAATAAATAGAGGATATTCAAGTTTTGTCTATAAATACATGATTTATTTTCATCGAGTGGTATGAAAATAAATATTTCATGAGTGGCAGTAGCCACGAGTGAAATATGGTAATTTTCATGCCACAAGATGAAAATAAATCATGTATTTATAGAAAAAACTTGAATTTTCTGTTTATTATATACATTTTTCTCTTTTTTGACATTAAAATTTGAAAGACTTTCCCTTAATTTTGTGTACTGGCAGAATTTAAAAGAAAGTAGTCCGGCAAGACACCAGTGAAAATACGGAAAATATGTTTCACTGCAGTGAAAAATAAATTTTTACAGTGAAAATACGGAAAATGTAAATACGCATTTGATTTCATCAATATTTCTCAATATTTCATTTGTAAGTATATAATAAACATATTTTTTGTTTGCTGTAGGTTTTGCTGTAGGTGTGTTAGAAGTTAAAATAATAATATTAAACACAATTTACAGACAATATTAAATTATAGCTGTAAAGCAAATTAGTGGTTTTAATATTGCATTAGTCATTATCTCAATATCAAAACTATGGAAACCAAAGTTAACATTATAGTTCATGTTTTTGTAGATTTGCTTTGTATATATATAGAAAAATTAGTTTTTCATGTAGGAATAAATTGGAAATTAGTAATTATTTTTTGTGCACGGAATATAATTTAATCCCGACACCAAATCAAAACATAAAAATACGCACCAAATCTGAGCATATACCAAACCTGTCAGTAAATGGCTTAAGAAAATCTTGAGACATGGTAAACATGCTATTGTATGTCCCAGGACAAGGCAAGTGGGGTTACATCTAATCAACTTCTTTTAAATTACAATTTCAAACCCATATAGTGAAATTGTTAGCACTTTGGTTCATAATATTGTGAATTATTTTCATTTATGCAATTACAGCATTTTTATTAAAACTTGCAACATATTTTTATAAGGTAAAAATATCTGACACACAAATATTGTAAGCAAACCAATGTGGAAAGGCATACAAAAGACACATTCAATCTTGATTCATTATAGGTCAATAGATACTCTTTCATATACAAATACAAGTATTTTATTTAATGAGCAGGTACATGTAATCTATAACAGACTAAATTTACAAAATCAGTGGATTAAGGGTGAAATTAATCAAATAGGTCAATTTAATTGTGGAATTGATCATTTATATTTCAGGATATAGGGATGTCAAGAGAAAATTATCGTAAGATTCAGGAGTTGCAAACAGAAAAAGATGTGACAATACTACATGGAGGGGTCGGAGGGTACTCTAGGATCTCAGTATGTAACAATGTATTGTAATATGTTAAATTTCTCATTGGCAAGATTTTTTGTACTCAAATCCTCATTGGCAAGATTTTTTGTACTCAAATCCTCATTGGCAAGAATTTTTGTACTTAAAATCTCATTAGTAAGAATTTTTGTACTCAAATAATTGCTTATGACATATATTATATTTCTTGTCACATGGCCAACAATTGACACTGTGCATTTGTCTCTCCTTTTAAACACATATAATCGTATTAAAGAAGCTACACTGAGATCAAGAAGCCTAAAAACATAAATTTGAAATTCTTACATAGATACATGCGCTTAAAACAGTAAAATTTACAGAAGGGCATTTGCTTGGTTATAATTCTTGTATAAAATGTTAGTTATTTCTTTAGAAATTATATGGTTAGACTTACTTTTCAGACCACCACTAGTATGATTCGCTTGTTTAGTAAATTTGTGCAGTCACATCAAACACAGCTAGGAACATCGTTCCACCAATTTGACCGAGATAGAACAGGTATACTTGGTATAGATGAAGTCAAGACGGCTCTTAAAGATGCAGGTCTCAGACTGACAAATGTAAGTAGGATAACAAATTCGGAATACACAGTGTATGTCTGAATTTTCAGCTCAAGGTCATACTGGAGGTTAATTACATAAATGTATTTTGCAAGCTTTTCATTAGGCTTTTCTTTGTAGACATGAATGTGTTTAGATAAGTTTAGATAAGCATTTTTAAAACAATGGCCAGATTTATTGAAAATTGTTTATGATATAAACTTTACTTAACTATTATCTGCTTGATAGAATAATAATTGTTCTGAATTGCAAAATTTTTCATGCCTTCTCTACAAATTTTAAAAAGCTTATAAGATGCCAAATGTTTTGTTTAGAATTCTTTATTGTAATAAAATTGTATTGATATGCAAATTTTAATTATTAAGTAAAACATTTTAACAATATACTTATTTCAGAAACAGTTGAGCCTCGTCATTGAGGAATTAAACTACAAGAATTCCAGTACAATGAATTACAAGTTAGTCATTTTCATTTTAACTATTGTAATGTTACATCTTAAGTTTGCTGATGATTCTTCTAATTCACAGCTAAATACAGTTATTATAAACAATGGATCTATTTTGCCTTGACCAGTTAACCTGTGATACCATAAAAGTTATTCACCTAATAGCATAATATTTTACATGTACTTAATTTTTTGAGAGAAAGCTTTCCATCTGGCGGATTATCAATTAAAAGGCTTGTTTAAGGAGTGACACATTCTAGAATTATCCTACAGTAAACAAGCTGAAAGATTACAAAATACATTTGTAACCAAAAACAAATTTATGTGTAGTAATTCAAAACTACAAAAAAACTGCATAATTTACCATACGTTTATTCTATATTTGTTACTGGGGGTAATAATTATGTTGTATTCAACACCTGGATTCTGTAGTAAATTATATAAACTATTTTAGTTGTTTCTTCTTGTGGTCAAATAAATTATGTTATTTTGAAGCGTTCGTGCATAATCTTGTTGTAAGTTGAAGGTCAGATGCTGCTTTTGACTTAATCTGCATAATTTGATATTTCATTTGGTGTGAAAATAATGATTTATATTGTACTACTTACAGGAATATATTGTCTGGTGAAACACTAGCGGAATATTTCCATGAGCGTCCTTCAAGGTTATTTGCCATCAAAACAAGCCAAATACATATCAACACTGTACCTGAAATGCTCCACAGACAACTTACAGTGACATAGTTGTGAGAAATCCATGCTGGAATATCAAATTAACTTACATTAGTCAGTGTTATGTTGAAGTACCAACTGTAACTTAAAACATGTAAAGACCTTGCAATTACCTAAAAAAAACAACACTCTCTACTTGTTATAGAGTTTGTTGGTTTTGTCATGACACGGCTCATTTATTTTAGTCTTTACTTCACATAGAGGCAGCATTACACTATGAAATTCTAATGTATTTTTTTGTGTTTAAATTTTAAGTACTAACGTTTCTTTCCTTTTTTAATATAATTTCTTTTTTTCTGTTCAGCAAATTCATTTTCAAACCCCAATCATAGGTGTTACTTTTTTAAAATATCCTTTTGACTTTTAAATTTTTTAAAATGCTGAACAGAAAGTGACAGGTCTTGAAACAGGTCAACCTGCACATCTGTGATAAATAGAATATTATATTCATTTTTATTAAATGGCTTTATTACACTCCTGTGACGCGTTTTATGTGAAAAAAAAATTACCCTTATTAGCAGCAAATGTTTTGCCAAATTTGTTGTACACTCAAACTTTTATGCCATCCACTGAGATATTAGCTTCAAACAATTGTTAATGTCACCTTGCAGTGTTTATGTCAAATTAGATCTTGCTCTTGATATTCTGTCGATGTAATAGTGGTCAGAAAATCTGTTATAGCGTCTTGGTTCATGCGTGGGACAACTTGTTAGTCTTTGAATTTATGTTAAGTCCATTCAAGCATTTTGAAACAGTCCATATTAATTTGAGATATTTTTATATCAATTACTAAATTAACTCTAAGCATGCTGGCTTTGACTGTATCAGCCCATGGGCCCAGTGCTATATATTAACATAAGGTAAGAGTTACCGTATAGGCTCGTCAATGAAAAATGACTCCTTATAACTGTAAACTGTTCTCTTTTTGAATATGTGATAAATAGAATATTATATTCATGTAGATTCAATACTTAATTGATGGAACTCGTTGAATAAAACAATATTATGCTCGCCAGAGGCTTGCATAATATGATTTTATTCAACTTGTTTAATAAATTTAGTATTAAACCTACACTCATTCAATATCGTCTTTATCAAATATGTTCACAGTTAAATGACAAAGGAGATATGTTGTTAATGTCTTTCATTCTGATTTTAGAAATGTTAGTGATATATTGCATGTTAACTTTTAAAAATGTTAGTGCTATATTATAATTATATTCACTTTATAAATGTTTTGTTATTTCTTACAAACTGATTTTTAATGGTTGAAAAGAAATTTGTGATTTCATTATAATTGATTACTGAACTGTTAGTGAATTTTGATATATTGAGTTCAAAAATATTAGTTGTTTATTAGATGTTGATTTGCTAAAATGTTAGTGATTTCTTTTATGTTTATTCATGAAAAAAAAATTAATTATCCATACATAGAATTTGAATGTTTTAGGTACGCCAGAAACTGAAATCTTAATTCCATTTTCTTGTACTAACATTATACGAGTTAGACTTGCTTAGTGCTTGCACATAACATTTTTATCAACTTAAGTGTTACCATACACAAAAATGTAAAAAACAGTTTTAAAAAGACAAGATCTCAAAATTAATTTCTTTTTAATTACATTAATATTGATTGTTCTTTGTTATTGTTCTTTGTTCATTTGTTTTAACTCTACAAATTTTAAATGAAGCTTTTATTGTCTTGAAATATTTGGCATACAATTTTCATTCTTTATTGTAATAATATGTGTATATTTTAAGTAACTTCTGAACAGGGTATTTTTATTTTATAAGACTCTGTTCTGGAAGTATTATTATACTTTTGTTCTTAAATGTATGCATTCTGTAACTGCCATTTCAAATCTACTTTTATTGTTTTATTTAGAAGTTATGTGCATTTGTCCATTTTTTATTATTTTCACTTTTCTTTACAGATATAACGCTTAGATATTTTTGTATTTATTTTAGTGAAAGTCATATTATACATTAACAGTGGATAGGGGTTGCTTGTATTTAAATTATGCCTGATTATTTATTTATTTACAAGAATGTCTATTTTTGTCGCATGTTTAACCTATTGATATTTTTTAACCATATATTCAACTTAAAACAGATGTCTCTCATGTCCTTGATAAAAAACGTCTCTCTTGTCCTTCATAAAAGCAGATGTCTCTCTTGTCCTTCATAAAAGCAGAAATCTCTCTTGTCCTTCATAAAAGCAGACGTCTCTTGTCCTTCATAAAAGCAGACGTCTCTCTTGTCCTTCATAAAAGCAGATATCTCTCTTGTCCTTCATAAAAGCAGACGTTTCTCTTGTCCTTCATAAAAGCAGATGTTTCTCTTTTGTCATTCATAAAAGCAGACGTCTCTCTTGTCCTTCATTAAAGCAGATGTCTCTCTTGTCCTTCATAAAAGCAGATGTCTCTCTTGTCCTTCATAAAAGCAGATGTCTCTCTTGTCCTTCATAAAAGCAGACGTCTCTCTTGTCCTTCATAAAAGCAGATGTTTCTCTCTCTTGTCATTCATAAAAGCAGATGTCTCTCTTGTCATTCATAAAAGCAGATGTCTCTCTTGTCCTTCATAAAAGCAGATGTCTCTCTTGTCCTTCATAAAAGTAGATGCATTTTGTCATTGATGAAAAGAAATTTTTGATAAAAAATACAGTTGCCATTTGTCCTTGATAAAGAATAGGCGTCTTTTTCCTTAATAGAATACATATGCCTTTTGACCTTGTTAAAACAGATACCCGTAGTCGTTGATACAGATTATTAAGGCTAACCTTTTAATTAAAACATCTTAAAAGTTGTTTAATTTACTTAATCTGTGCAGAGAAGACAATAATGAATGTTTCAATTTTATTTATGCTATTGACAATATTTAGTGAGTATTGCAACATTGTTAAAACTTGTTTGATTAATTTCATAGAGTTACATCAGTTTTGTGTAGAACAACCTTTTTTGTTTATCATAATTTATATTCTGTTATTTGAAAAAGAAGAGATACTATTTCTGTTCATGCCAGTCAATATGTCTTTCTATTAAAAACAGTAATTTTATATATACAACATGTTAAAGTTTAATTTGATTTCCCTTTTTATGCTCCCCAAAAAATTTCGGGGAGCATAAAGTCGCCAGGTTGTCCGTCCGTCAGTCCGTCCATCTGTATGTACGTCCCAAATTCGTGTCCAGCCCATAACTTTGTTATTTGAAGTCGGATTTTAAAACTATTTCACAGACATGATCACCATATTGAGACAACTTGTCATGCGCAACATTTGGGTTGCTACCTTGAAGGTCAAGGTCACGGCATGACCTTGAAGCAAAATCGTTTCCGGTCCATAACTTCGTTTTTAAAGACGGATTTTAAAACTATTTTACAGAAATGATCACCATATTGAGACAACGTGTCACGCACAACATTTGGGTCGCTACCTTGAAGGTCAATGCCACAGCATGACCTTGCAGCAAGATCGTGTCTGGCCCATAACTTTGTTACTTGAAGTCGGATTTTCCAACTATTTCACAGAAATGATCACCATATTGAGACAATGTGTTGGTGCAACATTTGGGTTGTTTTTACACTGAACTTTGTCTGTGACAAAACTTTGACACTACAAGAGGTATACCTTCCTGTGTCCAAAACCTATTTGGGGAGCATCACCCGGTTTAACCGGCTCTTGTTTGTCTTGGAAGTACGAAATATCAAGGAAACAAAGTGTTAGGTCTTGGTTATTCCTGGACTATACATGTCAGGCATACAAGATGACAGGTTTACAACATTCAAGGTCTATACAATGGCAAGCATATAAAATGTCAGGTCTATACAATTTTGAGTATTCATAATATTGTACGTGCTTAAAATTGTGACTGCATAATGAATGATGGCGGTACTAAAATTGTCTGTATATGATAAAGTTGAGTATATAAATGCTATTTCTTTATATTCCATAGTTTTAATTTATTTATGTACTAAATCTAGTCTATATGATATATTGTCGAATATGAAATGCAGTATATTATTGTACCCTTACAATCTTTATATCTATTTTACAGTAGGTATATTTACAATAGACAGGTTTTTTAGGTTATGATTAACATAATTATTCATACAACCAGATCAACATGTTTTCGAATTTTATATAAAACAGACAGTATGGCTAATATAAGTAAGTTTGACTCTTTGAAAATACAAAATTTACTAGTTTTTGTAACTGCGCATTATAGCATATTAGTTTAAATTACTCCCAAAATGTGAATTTGGTTGTCTCCTGTCATTAGGTTTGTCCAAATAAAATATTTGTTTAGCTTTTATTTAGCTGTTGTATGTAACTAACATCCATTTAAAAAAAAACATTGCCATCTTAAGCTCCACTTATATTTAATACATGTATTTATATTTAGCTTGACTATAATAAATAATTGTAGAATAGGGACCACTTTTGTAGTGACCCAGGCTTCAGCGTCACACTTTGGTTAACTTTTTGCGTGTGAATTGGAATCCTGAAAATTACTGAAGGGCATTGGTTGGAACTTTACACACTTATTTGAGAGCATAATTTGAGTTCACTGTGCAAGGCCCATAATTCTAACATGGATTTTGACAGAATTATGGCCCTTTTTGAACTTAAAAAAATTGCTACATTATCCAGGCCCTTATTTTACTTCCAAGTCCTAGAGCTAGAGAATAGTCGCGCATGCTGTCATACTGACAGCTCTTGTTTATTTAACATAATTTTATAGAGAACAATTTAACATAAAACATTTTCTGTTGATACTGTTAAGACATTCTGAAAATATGTAAGATTGAAAATTATTTAAGTTTTCTTTATATGTATAATTTAAATTGTGACAAACAGTTGAAACAGTAATAGACTAGTAGAACAAAACCAATGGTTTGATATGAGCCGTGTCATGACAAAACCAACAAAGTTTGTTTGCGCAGTCTGATCAGGATCCATGCTGTTCGCTTACCAACCCTATTACAAGTAGAGAAACTGATAGCGAACAGCATGGATCCTGATCAGACAGCGCGGATGCGCAGGCTGGTCTGGATCCATGCTGGTCGCAAACGCACTATGTTGGTTTTGTCATGGCGTGGCTCATATATGTTGATATTTGTATACCATCTATTTGAATAGACATAAGTTCAGGAAGTGAATAGAAGTCAAACATTCAACTGATGTGCAGAAAAGGAATATTTGTAGAGCATAAGATAATAAAGTAAAAAAGGACATAACACTGTCATGGAGTTTGACAATTTATGCCCCTTTTTCAACTTAGAATTTTGGTTAAGTTTTTCTTACTACTCCACTTTTTTGTATACCCTTTGAGGTATTTCTTTGAATCTTGAAATACTTGTATATGATACCCTGCTTTTAGACTGTTTGTAATTTATGAATTGATTTGATTCATACTTGTTCAAAACCATACTTATGACAAAATCATCATGTGAAGTAATTCTAATATGACTTTGACCTTAAAATGACCTTTGACCCCCAAGGTCTAATAGGAATATTTCTTTAATTAATATTTGGACAATAACATATTATTCAATAATACCATCATACTGCCTTAAGTGTTTTAAATGAAATTGACCCTCAAGGTCAAAAATTCATTTGATAAATATTTGGGCAACAACATGTTGGTTTATATGATCCTACTGCCTATACTGTTCTAAATAACTTGGACTAATTAGGTCATGTGGTTTATTTCATTTTCAGTGATAATTCTAGTTTATCTTCCCTCAGTTAGAAAAAAAAGAATCTTGAATAAAGATTTGTTAAAAGATGAATAAAAATATTTATTTCCAGAATCAGACATATCAGATATTATAGACAGAGAATAAACTAGTTTGTTTTTCTCTGTTTACAAGTCTTAGTGTAGTTACATGTACATAAAGCACACATTTTTCGCGGGATTTAACAAATAGTGAAATAACATATTTTATTTGCAGAGGATGAATAAGGTATTTACATGTTCAATGTCATAAACAAAATGAAAGTGAAGTAATATATTATTATTCATGTGATTTGCATTTATACATTTCTTGCTAGCTTATTGTGAATTCAAGGTAAAGTACTTCTATTCTGCTATATTTTTTAAACCGTTGCAATGTTTTATGTAATAAATAAAACTATAAATACAGATGTGTACATTCAATAGAAAAAGTATCACTACACAAAAAAAAGATTAATATTTTAAAAAGTTTATGATTTGTATTTGTTAAAATATCAATCAGCCGGTCGTAGAAAGGAAAATTTTCAATGATGTTTAAGGTAGTAAAACGACCTCACACATCACGACACATCATGTTGGCATGGATAGAAAATCTGTTATAAGGAAATTCCTCAGAAGCAGTCACAATAATTCAATTGCTCTTTTCTGAACAAGTTCATGAACATATAAACTATTGAATGCAAGTACATATCATATCCTCTCTCACAAAACATTTTAAGAGTACATGTATTTAAAACTTGTAAAGCTATTTTACACGAGGAGCATGTGAAAAGTATTAAATAGCGTAGAGCTGTAGTAGTTAGCGATATATATATCTGTGTAAAAGATTAGTCCAATCCCTGGATGCCGATGCACATTTCAAGACGCCACATCTACTCGGAAAATTCATTGCGCATGTTTCTTTGGATATAATGCTAAGCCATTGGAAACTGCGTTGTCGAAAGCGCGACGAGATTCGAAGTGTCGGCCTCTCCTTCGGTTTTTGATTCATAAGTTGAGCCAACATCACACGGAGCCGTGTCAGGGCTGTATGTATGATGTGGTAAAGTTTTAATTATCCAAAAATAAGAAAGAAATGGGTAGTCGCGTTCATAGATGAGCTTTGTTCCCCGCACTTTGGTATATGGTCGGGCTGAAGGAAAGTGCTCAAATTTAATCTCGTCTAAAGATTCTATTGACAGCCCTGCCTTCCTGTACAGAAACTTGAGCATACAACTGGCAACGAAAAATAGTGAATGCATGATGCGTTTTGTTGTACAAAGTCTACGAACAATTTTGTGTCCTACATCATTTTTATATATCGATACCTTACCCCATGGACCATGTTCCATCACCTGTCACGATTTCATTCATGCATTTTCGGCCAGCACCTTTGTACCTATGATGAAGCTGTGGCGCAATTCGCACAACGCTCCCTCTTTTGGTCAGCAGTGAGGGTGGGGGTATTCACCGGGCGCAACTTCAAAAGTGTCTTTTAGAATATATAAAAAAAAAACTATGACGAATTAATGCTTCATTAATGACGACTTATCACCTCCGCTTTATAGCGGGAATCTTCCTCTGCAGCCGCTGCTACCGTAGCAACACCATGTTGCTGTTTCGGGACAGCCAGATTAGGGTAATCCTGGATATCTGTTCTATCAGATTTAACAACGGGCCCATTTTCTAACTGTGGCATGTACATGTAATGTACAACCCTCATAAACTTTGTCTAAATCTGATTTGATAACCGGTATGTACGAACTTGACCATACGCAATTTGCTCTTCTTGAAAATTGTTCTCCTTGTCAATCATTTTGATCATAACCTTAGTAGGTTCAAAAAAGAAATTTCATTCATTGTGTAACTTTGCTCCGATTCGAACTTTTCTGTAACACCGAAGATGGTTGGAATTTAGACTGAGTAATATTTTACAAAACCACTTGTATTCTGTGACAAATTTATTGACATAATTAGAATTTCAAGCCATAAATGATAGTCATGATGTGCTCCCCTGTACCATTTATGATAGGTTGTCCATTGTAAATGTAATTGCTATACGGCAATGTATGCAACTTTTCAAAGTTTTGCTTTTCGCAAATCCTATGGGTGTAATTTGACGTTCCTTCTATATAAAGTGCTTCAAAACCAAGCTCCTTACACATTGCTACAGCGGCAGCTGTAAGACGTCCTGCAATCCCTTGACGTCGGTGATTTCGCTTCACACATATTGCAAAGAAATATGCAGCTTTGTTGCATTTGTATCTTTCAAAGAAATTCAAACCGGACGCTTGGTCTGTTAGAAAAATGAAAATTTCCCGTAATGGCTCGTAAGAAATGTTTGTGACGTTGTCGGTTGGGTCACTTTTCTTCATCACACCAATAATCTTCACCCCCTTTAATTCATTTGTATCTCTTGCAAATAAGCCTACAGACATATTTTGAACGAGAAAACCGTGTATTATTTTTCTGAAATCCTCATGCCACTTTACACCGAACGCCCTACATAAAGATTCATCTGGAATAAAATGATTTTCAATGACATCATAAATGTCGTCATAACGATCGCTTGTAATAATTTCAAGGCGTTCATCATTTGTCTCATAATCCTCTTTGATATTGTCTAGCGTCTGAAATTAAAAAGATATTGAACATTTACATATTCAGAATAAATTCAGGGTGGCGAACCTAGGTGACTTTCTAGGTAGACTGTACGGCGGAAAGTGCTTAAAATAGCACCAATTGATTCAGATTTTCTCCAAATAAAGTGCATTAACCCTTACAACCATTAGAAAGGTTGCGATTTCCTCGGATGTTACCGACTGTGTGAAGTTCCTTTGTTTTTTTCACAATTTTTCTTTAAATGAAAGTTTTGAGCAAAGTTCATATATCGACTGAATTAACGGTACAAAGATTGAGGAAGGTCAGAGAGTGTTTACAAAAAGTTGGTAACAAGAAAGGAAAAAGCTTTTTAGGAAGAGGTCTGTACACATTATTTGAAAAAAATCGACTTAAGAAGAAATTCGCAGACTGTGTCCGTCACCCTGGATTTGTACACTTCAAAGCAAAGTGCAACTATATATAATTTTATGCAAATTTGCTGACTAGCTACAGTATTGCTTTCCTTGGTTAAGACATAGTCACTGGTTGACCTGCTTCACACTTAACACTAAAGAACACATAGGTTTGTGTTTAATTACTACTTTGTATCCCATCAATCTGTGGCAATTACAACCTTATTGATATTATGTATAGATCTATGAAATACTGTAGAAAGAAAGGCACACACACGGCGTTGGTGCCTGGAATATTTGGACTTAACTGGGTCCTATAGTGGTTAATTGGAAAATTTCGAAAAAGTGTATACGATGAATTGAAAGCAGATCACAAATTAGAACACAATTTGAAATCATTTAAATGATTTCCCTTGTGCTTTGCAACAGTATACAATTTTGTTAAATTTTAACAAATATTCGTCTAGTCAAAGATCAACCACAAGAGAAATTTATTATTATCTGTTATTTCTAGCACGCACAGACCATATATCTATCTAAAATGCTTACCTTTGTTGTATCATTTAATACAAGCCTGTCAGAATCACACATTTTCTCCAGTCAGTAAATTATTACTTAGTAAATTATTACTTCGTTCTCAAATCCTTCTTAATAGTCGTCACCAAACTCGACTAATGTTACAATGTTTAAAATGCACAAAACAGACATCTGTGCAAAAGTTTACATATGAATATATTCTGGAAAGATGACACCGACATTGCTCACTCATGCACATCATGTATAAACTGCAAAATGGCTTTCATTACATAATCTTCAGTAATGAATAGATAAGTGTAAAACTCTATTGTATAAATACCCGAGAATACCAATGATTTATGTGCAAATATTAAACAAGAGGGTCAAGATGGCCCTAGATCGCTCACCTGATCCATCGTACTCATCCGAACAATTACCTAGACAAGCATCCTAACTAAATTTGATGACAATTGAGTCAAAAATGTTACCACTAGAGTGTTAACAAGGTTTTTCCATATTAAGCCGTTGTGACCTAGTATTTGACCCCAGGTGACCCATATTCTATAACTTGACCTAGAAATTATCAAAACAAACTTTCAGTCCAATTTCCAGGATATTTGGATCAAAACAGTAGCCACTAGAGTGTTAACAAGATTTTTCTATTTTTAGCTCCTGTGACATAGTTTTTCGTCCGAGATGACCCATGTTCAAACTCATTCCAGCAATTACCTAGGCAAGCATACTGACCAAGTTTGAGTCAATTGAGTCAAAAATGTTACCACCAGAGTGTTAACAAGATTTGTCTATATTTGGGCGGTGTGACCTAGTTTTTGACCCCAGGTGACCCATATTCAAACTTAACCTAGAAATCATGAAATCAAAAATTTAAGACCAATTTCCAGGATATTTTTATCAAAACAGTAGTTTTAGAGTGTTAACAAGATTTTTCTATTTTTAGCTCCTAGTTTTTCATCCGAGATGATTCATATTCGAACTCATCTTAGCAGTTACCTAGACAAGCACCCTGACCAAGTTTGATGATAATTGAGTCAAAGTTTGATGATGATTTGGGCAAAAATGGGACCGCTTAAGTGATATCGAACAAATGTGGACGGACGTCGGATATTCAACGATCCTTAAAGCTCACCCTGAATTAGCTCAGGTGAGCCAAAAATCATTCGCTACCTCCTTTTCCCCAGAATAATCATTTTATTGTACCATGAAATGCGTTGAAACCTATTTAGGCTTTTAACTCATACCGATTTAAGAATCGCACTTAATATCGATTTTAAATTTAATCCTGAGTATTCATTTTTTATTTATTGGTATATACCATATTTTTGTGACACTTTTGTGTCCCTTTTTAATTTTTTCGTCTACGATATATATCTCCCCTTTCTCTTTGGATTTTCAAACTAATCCCCGCCCTGTCCTTCTGGCCCCCTTCCCCTGCGCCCTTGTCCTTTTGTAAGTCTTTTAATTAATTTTCATCTTTGGGGCTGCCTTGTAAGTTTCTTTAAATGGTTTGTGGTGTCGTCCCTTCCGTTTTATGACCGTGCGCCCTATCCTGTTTGGTGACCTGATGAGCTCCTTGTCGGAGGTCCTGTGTTAGGGATTGCGTTCATTGAATGCCGTACTTCCTTCTTGATCTTGTTTTTCATATATGGACCTCAGTGGACCTCCTTTAAGTTCCGGACCTGGGTGATTTCTTACTTTCGGGCTTTACTTGGGTAACTTGCGTGTAAAATGAGAATCTGTTCATAAAACATACATTGTATAGCATTGCAATGCGAAAATTCAATGATATTACCGCACAATGAAAAAAAAATACACCGAGAACTGACATTCCCTTAGTGTTCAAACTTGGATGTCTTTAACAATATAGTAGAAAATCAGATTATTTTCTTAATATATGTATAGGATAGATCATGAGTACCAGTTGGATGTGAGATTTATCAACGAGCGAAGCGAGTTGATAAATCTCACATCCAACTGGTACGAGCGATCTATCTGACTTAGACCACAGGTAGTTTTCTCTGTTTAAGGTGAAGATTTAATATGCGTAAACGATTTGTTTCTCCGACAATTACATAGGGAAATCCAAATATTTCTTACTCAATATATTTGGCCTTATTGTAGGCAAAAAAGCACGAGAAAATGGCATAATTCACGTTCTTTCATAAGTTACTGTATACACAATCTTATGAATGATAGAGCTCACATTCCATCACGAAGAAATTTGGGAAGAATTTAACATTTCTGAATGTGATATTTTTACAATTTTGCAAGTTGAGAGATTTTGTTGTTATTCCTGTTGATTCTTCATTTAAATGATTAAATGACATTACACCGTACACAGCGCTTAAATATGAAGTCAAGAAGCAAAACTGCTTACCGAAAAATACTCTTAGACAGAAATCATGGGCGATGGCTGCTTCTCAAGAGTGGGCTCTAGGAGAAACGGGCAGGTAACTTTCATTTAACGTTTTCCTTAATGCTTAAACAACCATAGGGTTCAGGATATTGATTGGTTGTCCGGCTGAAGTTGAAAATATTTTAATTTGACATATAGATTCGTGTTTTTGTTGTATGCTTTATATACATCCTGCATTGTCTTTTTTACCTCATTCATGAACTAAAAAATATTTCAAACGTCCCTCTGAAGCCTTAAAGCATAGCATTGCCTTAGCGTTGCAAACGCAGTCCAGTCACCGTATATGAAAAAAATGTTGTCTTTTTTAAATAACTTCTTTATTTTCTAATGTATCTACTTCAAACTTCATATTTATGTTTCTTATTATCACTTAACATTTTTGAGAAGGTTAAATACTCTAGCAAGACTATTTCCAGAATTATGTCCCCCTTGAACTTAGATTTGTTTCGAGAAATTGGTATTTTTCACTCCAACTTCTTCATTCCTAATGGGATTTACTTTAAAATCCCACATTGTAATACTATGACAAGGTTGTATAAACAAAATTTCCTTACTAGGCAGGGAAACTTAACACATTACTGTGAAATAGACAAACTTAGAACTCAAAAGATTTAAGTTCATTCATGTCATTCATTCACTGGTAAAATTTAATGGCCAATGACCCATCAGAATGTTGCTGGGGTTCTAACCGGTAGGGGACTTATGGATTGCTTGCAATACTATGATAATTGCTTGTTTTTTCTTATTTACAAATACGGTAAATATTCTTGTGAAATGATGAAATGACGAAATAAATTGATCAAATGACTATTGCTATCTGTTAATTTTTAAGAAGGGAATTACACTATGAACTTTACTATATACATATAAATTTTCCTCGCATAAGGCGTGCACATAACGGTTTTTTCTTTCAAATGAATACAAACATGATAGTTATATCAAACACTTTACTGTGATGTGTGGGATATATCAAACACTTTTAAACTACTCTGATTGGCCGAGAGAAAACAGCTGTGGTCTAAGGATATCATATTGCATTAATAACAAGATTGAACATATTTTAGGTCAAATCAATGCGATTAGCACGTTTGTCCGTTGATGCATCTATTCTTCTCTGTAAAGGACTTTTCCGGTTTTTCGTAGCGGAACATTTTGCCACACCTTTTCCATTCATTGCTAGGTCAAGTGCTCACAAACATAAGCACGTGTTCTTTTGTGCAAACCAGGTCAACCAGTGACTATGTATTATCTCAGTGTAGCAAGTTAGCCAATTTACATAAAACTGTAAACACCGAAAAGGTCCGATACCTGTTTACTCAGTTTTTATGGAAGAATGTAAATTGTTAAAGCGATTACATGTATGAATAATATGTCAAAATATAACACTTTTAATGATTTCAATTGTGTAAAAAGTATATCTAATGCTTACATGTATCATGAATAAAAGTATTAACAAATGTGTAACCACCCGCACGTGAGCCGTTCTTTAGATTAAAACATGCTTGTGGTGTCATCTTGCTTTGTTTCTCTGCATTAATGTGTCTATTATACTAAAAGCAGAAAATATCATCCCAAATTTGCCAAATAAGTATCTTTTTTTCATAAAGTAAAACTGCGTACTAGTATTTTGGACAATATGCGTTACACACTCAACGCTGTATTCCTTAAAATATCGAAATATACAGCAACAAGAAGAAGAAAAAACACATAGAGGCTGAAAATCGTAGACTAGATGGTTAAACCTTATGTCAGCAAAAGTTAAGCAGAAGTTTAGCATTGTTATTAACTATTCTAGGAAAGGGTAAAGTGCTTGTCTGGACCAGCTCAACCATGAGCAGAGAAACGCCGCCAGACATTGATAATTGGACAACTACGAATTATTGTTATTTGTTGTTTTCTGTAATATTATATCGATATTAACATCAAGTGAAAACAACATTAAAACCATTTCTTACACCAAAACAATTATAAGACATTGGAATGATACGTGTCTATCACAAAATATGGCGTTAGTAAAAACTTTCTTCAAAACAATCACAAGTTATTATTAAACCCAGACAAGGTCAAATGACATTGTTTTTATTAGTCAATTGGGCATTATTATCTTAAGTTTAACAACTGTGTTAGCAACAAAAAGAAATAAAGATTGAATTTCTAGTCAGGCTTTAAAGAATGTTATTATTTTTTGTATTATTTGTAAAATATGTGTTTTAAAATAGGCTCATTGCAACAGTAACGGAGAAGACCTTTAAAGGCCAAACTCTAAATGTTCTTCGAGAAACTCAGAGCACCACTTCCTTACTATGGTATTGCCAAACACATTTTGTTTTATAAAATCTATTTTCATTTCCCTTCACAAAAAAATAACATCTTGGTCGTATGAAATAGTATTTTAAACGGGTGTCAAACTATTGTTCTAGAAAAAAAGACAAAGCAAAATGAATCCTATTCAGACATTGACTTATATTATTGATACAAGGAAAAATGACAGGTTTCCACCATAAAGTGTTTTTGCCGACTTCAAAAAGAGCTTTAGACACAGAGCATATATAATTGTTCTACACAAAGTAAACCCAACTTTGTTTTCTTTATCATAATTTAGTCACCTTATGAAAATGGTGTGTCCTCTGTCAAGGCTGTTCACTGTCTCCAATAATACTTGGTGTGATGGATGGCAAAAGTCTCTCCGAAAGTTATATTTATGATATTATAGGTTTTATCAATATGTTTCCTGTCGATGATTCCTTTATCTCTATTAAAAGAATATTAAATCACATTCATGACATGTTTTCTTTTTAATTTGTGCCATCACTGATACACATGTCTAAACAATATACATAAATAAGTATTTGACAGAAGATATGTCAACATTGTTTTTGTTCCTGCTTTAACATGGAATT